TTTGTATTTAAAATTATATGATTAATGATCAATGATCAAAATTTCACTAAGCAATCAATGATCAAAAGTTCACTTAGCTATATTCTTTTAAATATATTGAAGCAATTTCTTACCATTGACTTATTAGATTTGATGCTAATATTAGAGCTTTGATACCAAATAGTTTCTAATTGGTAATCACAACATATTCCACATCAAACTGTTATCTTTTGAAGAACAATGGCTAAAGATTCAATAAAAGTAACACCTTGTAGTTCTAAGGTTGTAGACTAAAAGATCAAAATATAAAGACTCAATGGATTGAAATTGGACATTTTGATGAATAAAGAAGTTCATCAATCAAAGTTTCTCTCTTATATCAAGAGATTATTTTAAATGCCAACAATTTTTTTAAGTCCTTTTTTGCATTCTTTTTGATTAGTATTACAATTATTTTTATCAAAACTATATGATGGAATTAAAAATTCAATAGTTAGCATTGAGAAACTGACATAAAACCTTTGCACTATTTCAAATTTTAAGTAGCTTCAACTTTTTTTGGCTTTTTAACAACTTCAAATGCAAAAAAAAATTCAACAAAATTTAAAAAGTCAGATTTGTTTCATGTTGTAGTGTATATTACAATAAATTTTTTGTAATATAAAAAATCTTATAATTATGTTTAATTTTTATCCTTCTAAATATTTATTTTAAATTAAAAATAAAACTCTTTGAATCAATTTTTTAATAAGAATTAATACATACCACATATAAAAGGTTTTATAAGAAAATATTTTTGTAAACAATATGTGAAAGAAATTACAAGATATGATAATCAACCAATGATTTATTATTAAGAATTGACATATAAATTTAAATTGCATTATATACATTTTAGAAAAATATTCTATTTTTCAATAACATTTACATGTTTAATATACTAAATTCTAAAACTAAAAATTCTAATAGTTGCATCAAAATAAAGTCTTGCTGAATATTTAATTTTTTATCCTTTTGAATTTTTTGACTTAAAATTTAAAATATTTTAAAATCAAGTAGAAAATTTATATTATATTATAAAATATTAATGTATAAACTAGATCTATTGCTTTATTATAAATATAGTTTAAATTTAAGAAAAAAATTTAAAAAATAATTTACGTACATAGAGTTATATATATTTTTTATTTAACTGACACATACTAGGATTCTAATGTAATTATAATAAAATAACCATTAATCGACTTAAAAAATAACTTAGCAAAGCAAATCGTTTATCCAATTTCAAATATTCATGGTCTTTATAATTTTCTTTTTTGTATTACTTACATTTTAATTTTAATATTTATATTCTAAAATTAGAAATTTCAAAATATTTTAGACATGACTAAAGTTTTATATATTATGAATACAATTTTTTTTAATACTTAGATAATTTTATAAATTTTACAATTAATAAAATTTTATTTTTTTTCTAAAACAATAGTCTATAAATATTCTAAATTTATTTTAATTTATACTCTCTCTCTCTCTCTCTCTCTCTCTCTCTCTCTCTCTCTTATTTTATATTAAATTTTGGTTTTTGGAAGAATTTATATTTTTTAATTTTATTTTTAAAAAATAATAATTATTTCAAATAATTTTCTGATATCTTTTTAAAAAACAAATGTTACAATGGAATTTATAATAGTATATATTTTTATCTTTATTTCAGAAATGCTTATTTATTAAATTTTTATATGATATATTTTTTAAACTTAAAGCCTTGATTTTTGTATCATTATTTTTGTTAAAAAATTACATAAATACCAACATCAATCAAAATAGATTAAAAATAATTATACAAGTATTTTAAAATAAAATAAGAAGTATATATTTTAAAATTTTCTTTTATTTTTATTTTAAAGAAGATAAATCTAACTATAAATTTTTAATAAATTTTATTAATATTTTTTATAAATATGCTCTAACTATTATGATTCTAATTAATAGTAAATTATAAATACAATAATTTTTTAAATATATATTTTAAGAGCTATTTGTTCAAATATCTAAATAATTTAAGATTAAACATGTTCTATCTAATAATTATCCAATATATTAATATTTTATAAATTACATAGAAGAAAATATTTTTACTTAACATCTATATATATATATATATATATATATATATATATATATATATATATATATATAATTCTTTTATATTCTATAAAAAGTGAAACAATAAAATATTTATAATTAAATAGAATAATATATTTTATTCTATTTATCTCACATATTTAAAATATATTTATGTATATATATATATATATTAAAATCAATCAACAATTAAAAGAAGAAAATAATAATAATAATAATAATAATAATAATAATAATAATAATAATAAATAAATATAACCATACCAATAAAAAATAAAAAATAATATTGGTTAAATATGAATTAATGTGTTTTTGAATTCAATATTAGTAGATCTTTTTTATAAGACTTACATATTTTGTGGTGTGATTCTATTTATAATTTTTTTTTTCTTAATTTAATAAACTCGCATGTTTTATGAGAATTTATTTTTCTACTTATTTATATTATTTATTTGAATCATGCCACATCAATTTACATAAGATTTATTTTTGTGCATTTTTTAGAATGAATATTTTATATAGGTTTTATATTGTAATTTTATTATTATAAAATTGGGAGAACATACACTTTATTATTGATAAAAATCAATGGCCTCATTTAAGTCTAAAGTTTTATATTTGACATTTTCTTTTGCTGTTGATAGTTAAAAAATGAAAACGTAACATATCTAGAATTATTGATAAATTTTCTTCTTACAAATGATAATTCTTTTGTATACTAATATTCAGAAATGCATGTAAAAACTTAAATCTAAATACCTGTTGCTGAAACTATAATATTTTCTTATAATTAAAGTTCAGTGTGTATTTTCATCAATAATTTCCAGTTTAAATAATTTGAAGGATTAAAGGTTTGAGTGATTATAATATAATTGCAAGCTTATTCATTCAAATTCTTTAAAATGGAATTCAAGTCAGCTGTGATCACGAGGCTTTCTACAGTTGCAATAAGACTCAGAGACACACATACATTAATCCACGAATATCATCCATGGATGCATTAATCCATTCATCTAGACCTGTTGCTTGCAGAGTTGGGGGGGGGGGTCGAGGAAGAGGAGGGGGTGGGGAGAAGATAAGCAAAGAGCCCACTCAAGGAGATCAGAATGAACCACCGCATCTCGGATAAGAAGAAGCAGAAGAATAGTAAAAGAAAAAAAGAAAAAGAAAAGAAAAAAGAAAAAGAAAAGAAAAAGAGAGAGCACAGAGCGGAGCATAGCCATGGATGGATGACATACGTACATCTATGTATGAATGAATCAATGGGTGGGAGGGAGGATGGAGCCGAACCCTACTCCCATGAGCTGATGATGTTTAATTAGGGTTACAACACACAGTTTCGTGTCCTGGGTTTAGAGACTCCTCGTCACCCATTACAAATGAGGAATGTAGAAATGGGTACATCGGGACAAGGGAGGGGGAGGAACAAGTGGCGGCATGGTAATTGTCTGATCGAAGGGCCCCCTTAATAATACAAGTAAGTACGTAACTTAGTAAATGAATAAACAAATAAATAAATAATGCAGTAAGAAACTGGGACGAGGCAGCAACAGCTGCTCTTCATCACGGCACGTAGTAAGTAATGCACATTCTGGTATTGGATTAATACTATTGTTGTTGTTGTTGTTGCTGCTGCTGCTGCTTTGGTTGCTGGAGGAGGAGTGAGAGAGTGAGTGAGTGATTCCAGGGGTCTCGCCAGATGGCTTGCTGCTTATTATAGCCAGAGGATGCTGCCACTTGGGTGGGGGTCTCTTTTATCCCCCCCCCCCCATTGACCCAGTTCCTCGCTGTCAGCCAAAGCTTGCTCATCTCAAATGTCAGTCAGTTACACATAATATCTTTTCGGGAGAGATATTCCGTTCCGTTTTCTTTTTGCTTTTTGGTGCTATCGGAGGGTGGATATTTTTGCCTCGCATTTTACCTGTGTTGAGATTAAGATATTGATGTAAAGTACGGAGTGTGAAAATGTTGGGTCGAGGATTCGATCTCCCATTGCTACCCTTATGTCGCGAATCTGGTTGCAGTTTTCGAATCGCAACTGAAGTGGCGACTTATCAACTTCGCTCCAGATTGAAGAAGATGCCCACCCTCGCCCACAACCCCCCTCTCATTTGCCAAACAACAAATGCTGCGCTCGGGCATGCATTCACCCCACCACCTGAAAGCCCCCTCCGACACAGACTCACTTTGGAGAGTCTGGAACACATCATGTCCAGGGACGGAGCGCACTTTTTTTTTATTTTTACCGCGGAGCAGGGATTAGGGACCCAATGCCGCCGTGTCGTTGGCGTCCGTCTCCGTCCCATGCTCCCCGCAAGGAGATGTAAGCAATGATGAAAGCCTGGCGACACTCCCCCCAAACCCTAAGAGATTCCATACCCCCGAAAGCGATCATTTCACATGCCGTTTTCTTCGACACAAAGACCTCGCGTCGTCCACCATCGGATAAGGTTACCCATTGTCATCGTCAAGGGCCCTCTGCGCAGCAGCAGCAAGGAGGCGGGGGAAGCGATATGGTGCAGCCCTAGGAGAAAGGATTTACTTTTTACGCAGGGACCCTTTTCCCCGTTTTATCTCTGCTTCCGCTTTGCTTTAATTCTCCGCAGTCTCATGCCACTCTGAAAGCAAGAAGACAGCGGCAAAAGGTCTCCCAAGCCCCAGAACCGAGTCCAAGCCAAGTAGGAAAATGGCTTCAACCAATCCGGCGATGACGCCGCGTGAGGGTCCTCGCCACCGTCGACGAATGCGGCGAGTCTAAGGTTCGGAATGACGGAGGGTCGGTTCGGAGGGAGGGGGAGGAGGGTAGGAAGGGAGGGTGGGGGGGAGGAAGGGAGGGAGGGAGCAAAAGGGAGGAGGGGGGCTTGTTTGTTAGGGGCTGTGTCACTGACGCTCTCATTTGGCCTCTGCAGGCGACCCGCCTCGGATATATCGAGCGTCCCCGACCCAGGGTTGTGCTTCGGTGATCCTCCGCAGGCCCCCTCGCCCCCTCCCTTGTGCTCCTGGCTTCGTAAATTCCCCGTGGAGTGATTCATTCTCAGGAATTCTCGGGAGGTTGCTTGGTTTGGGAGGAATTTGCTGCCCCTTGCAGCGTTTTGGTGGGGGAGGGAGTGGGCGAGGAGGAGGAGGAGGAAGAAGAGACATGCAGAGTCTGTATGCAGCTTCAGCGGCCACCACGCCCGCGTGGTATGCCAGGAGTAACGTAGCGGTGAATGGGTTGAGGATGAAGACGGCGAGGCCGTCGTTGTCCACGGCCATGCCGGGGATGGGTGCATTCCGATCTCAAGCGTGCTTGAGCGGGTTGAGTTTTATGGGTACTCGGCGGAGCGGAATGCTGCATGAGATGGCGGGTTTGGGGATGCCTGCGTTGCTCCCTGCGTCGGGCTTGAGGAAGAGGCGCGAGGTGGGCGTGAAGAGCGAAGAGGGCCCGCTTGGATTGGGCTTGGGCTCGCGACTGCCCGTGCGGGCGCAAGCGGCTGCGGGAGGCGCGGCCTTGCCGAGCCAGCCTCAGAAGAAGATCCTCGGAATTGAGGCGACCACGTTTAAGAAAGTGATTCCCTTGGGTTTGATGTTCTTCTGCATTCTCTTCAATTACACCATTTTGCGAGACACGAAGGATGTGTTGGTGGTGACGGCGAAGGGAAGTAGTGCTGAGATCATTCCATTCTTGAAGACGTGGGTAAATCTCCCCATGGCTATCGGATTCATGGTTATCTACACGAAGCTGTCGAATGTTCTGTCGAAGGAGAACCTGTTCTACTCGTGTATCTTCCCCTTCATTGCCTTCTTCGGCGCTTTCGCCTTCTTCATGTATCCGATTGTGGATATCTTGCACCCTACTGCATTCGCTGACTGGGCTCTGGAGAAATTCGGAACTCGGTTCCTTGGTCCCATTGCCATTATTCGTAACTGGACGTTCTGTCTCTTCTACGTCATGGCTGAGCTATGGGGTAGTGTGGTGGTGTCAGTGCTTTTCTGGGGTTTTGCAAACCAGGTGTGTATTATTTTCACCTCGTTCTCTGCCCTGTACACACCTATACTGTACGTGCGCGCGCCTCTTTACTTTTGGTTGATAGCTTCCCGTGTCTCGTCTCTCTTGTCCACTCGAGTGTATTTAAAACAGTGCACGAGGGAATGGAGAGGTTCTACCTGTGTAGTAAATCTTAAGTTCTTCTGGATTGTACTTAATGCTTCCTAACGAGTGCGGGAAAACAATGTACCTGTGCTGAGTTTTTGTATGAACGCCTTTTGTTTAGCATGTAAAATGTGTTCGGAGCTGTGTGATTGAACCACACTATTAATGACTAACACATCTTGTCCCTCGATGTGGATAACGTTTGGATGCCCTGTTTATCATGTTGCTGGTTTTCACAGATTACAATTCACACTCACATCTGGGCTCATAATAATGCCAGGGAGGTTTCGCATTTCGTTCTCATAAACACTTTTGCTGCGCGTGACAGATTACGACAGTGGATGAAGCCAAGCAATTCTATCCCTTGTTTGGATTAGGTGCGAATGTCGCTCTTGTCTTCTCTGGAAGAACCGTCAAGTACTTCTCCCAACTCCGAACGAAGTTGCCACCCGGTGTGGACGGATGGGGTTACTCATTGAAGGGAATGATGGGACTCGTTGTCATTCTCGGTCTGGTTATCGTGGCTATTTATTGGTGGACCAACAAATATGTTGTGAATGATCCTGCATTGCCCAAGGTCGAGGTTCGCAAGAAGGTGAGTTCAATTCCTTTTCATTTATTGAGAAAGATTCTGCGACCCTAATTTTTGTTGTGATTGTGGAAGTCTCGTAGTCTCAAACCAAATTGTCCTTTAAGAACGTGAAGGAACTCGGAGGTAGAGTGTGTTGTCGAAAGGTTGTATTTATCCTCTGTATCATCAGACGAATTGTGAATACAAGCTTGTGTAGGGCATCAGCGTCGTCTAGTTTGATATATTCGCTTAATTTTCAGAGAACTGCCACTTACACGTGAGTATGTCTTTCTAGTGAAGGTTTCTATTGAGGGTCTCGTTTGAGTTCCAATGACGGATGCTTTGCTTTCACATTCCTGATACATTTTGTGTACTGATGTGGGTTTTCAGAAGTCAAAGCCCAAGATGGGAATGGTTGAGAGTGCGAAGTTTTTACTCACCTCACGCTACATTCGTGACCTTGCTACGTTAGTGGTTGCCTACGGTATCAGTATCAACTTAGTGGAGGTTACATGGAAATCCAAGCTTAAAGCTCAGGTATCAGTTCTTGCGATGTGTGATTTTCCTTGATTTTATTGAATTGTTTTGTATGGGTTGTCGTAGATTTTGCAAATTCCAGCTGCATCCGTAAGCCTGTAGTTTTTCGAGGATCGTCCTTGACATTTGTATGTTTGGTAGCCTCAGTTTCCTGAATTTGTGTTCGCATCCATGGTTGCAGTTCCCAAGCCCTAACGACTATTCCTCATTTATGGGAGATTTTTCAACGTACACTGGAGTGGCCACATTTATTATGATGTTGCTGAGTCGTTACATCTTTAGGAAGTACGGATGGGGAGTGGCAGCAGCCATTACACCAACGGTTTTGTTAGTGACAGGAGTGGCCTTCTTCGGTCTGGTGCTCTTCAGCACCCCATTGACACCTATGCTAGCCGGCCTTGGGATGACTCCCTTGCTTGCTGCAGTATACGTCGGAGCTCTTCAAAACATCTTCAGTAAGAGTGCCAAGTACAGTCTTTTCGATCCTTGCAAGGAAATGGCGTACATTCCTTTGGATGAGGAGACCAAGGTATGATTATATTGAGGAACTGGTTGTGCAGGCGCAATATGCTTGTTAATGCGTGGCAGTAATGTGAAAAGAAATTGCATTTACTTATGCAGCATTCTAATTACATCAAAGTTTTAACTGTGGAATAGAACTGCAACCTTCGGGAACGTGCTACGATTAGGAATTTGTTGAACTTGAATTTGTTCGTCCTTGCAGCTCAAAGGAAAGGCAGCTATCGATGTGGTCTGTAACCCACTTGGAAAGTCAGGAGGTGCTCTCATTCAACAGTTTCTCATTTTGGGCTTCGGATCATTGGCAACCTCAACTCCATACCTAGGAGCCATTTTGTTGCTCATTGTGCTGCTATGGTTGGGTGCCGCTCGTTCGCTAGATGCCCAGTTCACTCCTCTTGTGCAAAAAGACTTAAAGGGCAAGCTCTTGGAAGGAAAACTGTCTGCCATTTCTGCTGCAGTCTTGGGACAAAACAAGCCTAAGAAAGAGGTGAGTCTAACGAGTTTCTTGGAAATCTCTACTTGCTGTACAGTTGTGAAAAGGAAACCGCATCAGGGTTCCCAATCAATTCTTAAGCTTACTTTCTGAAGTGTTAGATGAATGGAATACTGCGTGATTAATCTAGTTAATTATCGTACGATATCATTTGACATCGAAAAGTGCGCCTTGCAGGTGACATACCGATTTGTGAGTGTTCTCAATGAACAAGGGTTCTTGGAAGGACGTTATGTACCCATTGTCGATGGGCAAGCCGAAACCCTAGCAAAGGCGCCTGAGACTCCTGCGTCTGAAACTTCTGCACAGACCTCTGAATCATCGCCATTGTTGGGGTCCAGCAATGGTGATGGCTCAGCAGCTCAATCTGGAGAAACCGATGTGCCATCCTCGGAAACAGCACCTTTGAAGTGAGGTGACATTTTGTTGGAGAGTTCAGTAGTTAATTGTTGGTTGAACCACATGACTAGTTGCTTGATTTTTCTTCAAGCATCGTGTTCATGGCGCGAGTAGTCACTGCCAGATTACTGATACCGCACTTTTCACTTAGGGAAGAAGTGTGGTACGATAAGTCTTGGCCTCGGTTATTAGGAAACATCATGCATGGAGCCTCCTGGTTCCTGGTGGGGCTTGAATGTAGGATTAGCTGAGAGTTCAGACACAAGATCATGAAGAATAACGTTAGAGAGGTGTACATTGGCTGTTGTATGAAGTTGATTGATAGTCTGAAGTTCAACCAATACCGCATCCTATTTGGGTCCGTACTACTTTGCTGCTTTTCCCGATTACTGCCTTTCTTTTAAAAACTGACGGCATGCAGTAAGATAAATTGTCTCTGTATCGGATTCTCATCATTGAATGATTCCTTAACCGCAAATCCTGAAAGAATTGGTGAAAGGAGTTATCACATCACTTGCTATTTTGTAGATCTGTGGTTGCCCAGCCTTTGGCAAAACTATTTATGAACTCTTAAGCTTCTTGTTATAAGCACTATCTTCCATCGTTTTAAGGAAATGCAGTCCGCACTGTTCAGTCAGAATTTTGAAAAAATTATTTGGATTGAAAATGACGAAGAGATACTTAGCATCAGCGATGACTGGACGATCTACACATCCTGGGACATTTTTTCTCCCACTGGAAGATTCTCGTCTATTAATACTCTTCGAGCAGAGAAACTGTTGTGATCTGGTCGACGAGGAACCCAGGCGTGTCGGTCGGATCACTTGTGGTTTGTCATTTCCAATCACTGGGGTCCTGGTGGTATTCGTGTCGAACAAATTTCAGTTGAGCAATCTGAGTCCTGTAGGCGTGTGCTCATAAGCCACCTGGTAGCCAGAAGGAAAAGTTCAAGAGCCAGGAGATAAAGGTTCTGTAGCAATCGATTCTTTTGCCCGCTCTCCAAATCTTCAATTGCAGCGAAATAGTATGTTCGTTTGGGGTCATTCATGCCATCATAATATGGGGCATGGAGATTGCAAGAGAGTGGTAGGTGTTGGAAAGGGGAAGGAAGGACGATACGAAAGGGAGAGTGTCAGTGTGTGAGTCTGGTTTCATCCTCGTTGGGAGGGAAGAATGTGTGCGAGTTGTGCACGGACCATGAAGAGCTTGGTGAGGTAACGCCGAAATAAGTGCTCGCGTCATTGGGTACAGATTTAGTTGCACTCGAGATCGCTTAAAATCCTCATGGTTGGCTACATGATATGGCGAGGAGTGCTGCGGCCGGGCGCACGAGCGAGAAGAAATTGGTGGTGCAGAAGCTTGGGTGATGGATATGGATACCCACGTCGCTCCCGATTTGTGCACGCGCCCGCGGAGCCCTCCGACATCACCCTTGTTGATCAGACACTGAAAATCTCGTCTCTGGTTACGGCCTTCCGCAGTCGAGGCCATTTCGTTGCGGCTCTTGGTAATTCCCTGTGTTCTGGATTTGACCGGATTGGGTACTTTCGCTAAAGTTGTGTATCGATCGACTTTCCCAAGCATTTCATTGAGATTCGCATTCCTCCCCTGAAGCTCGAATTTGGTGTTGTCTCGCTGAATGGCAGTGAATTTCGTGAGAGCAAGCTGCCCCGCTAGATAGTGCAGTTTATTTCTCCTGAATCTCAATGCTGTGAAATTGGAGAACCGTAATTGGGAAGTAGATTGAAATGACCATGGCGACTCTCACATAGCTTGCTTGAATCCGCGGCTGAGCGGACGATGTCCGCGCTGTCTGCGTCTGTTACCCACCAGCGAGTTTGAAAGAATTTTGAGTAATTGAAGTGATTGTGTGGCAGATCCGCTGGGTAGAACATTGGGACGATTGGTGGAAGGGAATGATGGCGCCGAATACGCTGAGCCCGAAAATGCGAAAGATCTGTTTGAACTTTTGAAAAACTATCCCTCTCTTAATCTCGACGCTGTCGGTTTGAAGGGTGTAGATCCCAATAAAAGGTTTGCGCCTGATTTTGCACTCGCTATGCGTCTCTTACTACAATTTCTTTAACCTTGCATGTTTGAGTGGGATTCTTTCACGGTTTCATAAATACTTGTGGTTGGGGGGATGACAGGTTCTATTTGGGTGACCATCTGCGCATGTCACGCGCCACGCAACTGTTTTGGACAGTGAATGAAGTGGTGGCGCTATTACGAGCGAGCTACTGCGGCACCACGACCGTAGAGCATGAGCATGTGGTTTCCAAGCCTGGAAAGGATTGGATCCGCCTCATGGTGGAGCGGCCTCAGGCACGGTCTCTGTTTCTGCCCTCTGTCCAGCGACGGATCTTGTACCACTTACTCTACGCTGGTTGATTTCTCTACCTCGACATTAATTTCGTTAGACATGGTGTGATCAGTTATGTTTCTTACTTTTCAGTTTTCTTTTCAATTATTGTGAGCAGAGTGATCTTATTTCAGATTCTAGTCCTTAGATTGTTCGTTACTGGATGCGCAGATCATTTTGAGCGTTTTCTTGCAAGAAAATTTCAGGCCTCCAAACGTTTTGGCATAGAAGGATGTGAAAGTCTAATTCCTGGCCTTTTCGCTCTCATTGAGGTGTGGCACTTACGACACATTTAGAGAAAATACTAGTTGAAAATCTATTTCTTCATTCTACATTGCTCGACACTTACTAGAACGTAGTTTTGTGTGGGTAAATTTGTCTTATGTGGTGTCAAAAGTTGCCATTCTAAGGTAGTGGGGCTGAAATGACGCAGCGTGCAGCAGAGGGTGGGATTAAAGCCATTGAGCTGGGAATGTCTCACAGGTTCTCTTCCTAACCTTCTACCTCTTATGTTTTTGAACGAGATCAGTGTCGTCAAGATTAAATGAGAAAGCTAGCAACTATCCTTACTGATTTTTGCGTTGTGGTCTTACGAGCGAAAGTTTTGTATCTAAGTTTGACATACGTTTTCAGGGGGCGGTTGAATGTCTTGCACACGATCCTTTCAAAGCCACTTGGAAGCATCATAACAGAATTCAAAAATGTTGGAGACCGACATTTCTTACAGGTTGGAGATGTCAAGTATCATTTGGGCAGTCGCGGCACTCTGTCGTATGGTGACAAAAAGGTACATAACGTCTAGTTATAACAGAAGGCAGATGATTTCTGTATGTTTCAGTGACAGGGCTTTTAGATCATTTTGAAAAAGAAAAAAAGAAAAAAAAGAAGAAGATTATGAGCACTTTAAATAAAAGTGTGGGATTTGCAGATTCAAATATCGCTTCTGCCAAATCCAAGCCATTTGGAAGCAGTCGATCCTGTCGTTCTGGGCAAGACTAGAGCTAAGCAGTTCTTTACTGGGGATATGAAACGGTTGCAAAACATGGTAGGTGCTGTGTACGGCAAATGCATCATTCTTCCGTAATACAGGATCTAGTCGTCATTGTGTATTTTTCTCAAATTTCCATCTCTGGTATCTAAGTAGTGTAGCGTATAATACACGACATATTGGGTGCAGGGGCTTTTACTTCACGGTGATGCTGCATTCAGTGGACTGGGATTAGCTGCAGAAGTTATGCAGGTATGTGTTCGAACTTCTCTACCCCTTGATCTTGCTTGGTCTTAAAGTGCTACGAAGTAAATACCAGTATAATTTTGTGCTGATCGAGGCATACTACGTTGCGTTGGTTGGATAAATGTTGTTTCTACCTCAAGCTTTCAGATCTACCCCAATATACCACAGGAGGCACTATCCATGTCATTATCAATAATCAAATAGGCTTCACGACTGATCCCAAGCTCGCTCGTTCTTCTCCTCATCCAAGTGATGTTGCAAAGGTACCCTAAATGATATTGCTTCTGATTATGTTCTGGTTCCTGTCGCACCTCAATAAGTGGCATTTGGTGGCAAAATGTTGATGTTCTAAGGATGCATTGTATCTACGACTAACTTGCATCAAGCTGCAATATTGTGATGAAAGTGGCATGGTTGCAGCTACTGTTGAATTTTTTTAGAGCGTTAAAATTTGATTTCTCAAGCAAACGGTGATATTTGGTATTTGTGCAGGGTGTCGGAGCTCCAATTTTTCATTGCAATGGAGATGATCCGGAAGGTGTAGCTCATTGCTGTCGGCTGGCTGTGGATTGGCGCCAGGTGACCACCAACTATTTAAAACAATCTTTACTCTCGACATCCCATACTCTCCTTTTGTTGGGTGTGACCTTGAACTCATCTAGACACTTTCTTCTCTTAAACTGTGGATGTGAGGTTTCGAGACGGTCAAATATGGTATATCAAAGCTTTCTTCTGAGAACCAGCTCTCAAGTACATATTGATTTTAAAATATTCACTAGGGGGATATGTTAGTAATATGCTGGTTATGTGACTCCGGTCATTTTGAAGGTACTTGGAAGCTTTGATCAATGGTTGTGACTCGTAAGCTGGTGGACTTTACTAACTGTACTGTTTGCTTTCTTCAGAAGTTTCAGACGGATGTTGTCGTGGATCTTGTTTGTTATCGGCGCCATGGTCACAATGAGCAAGTTCGTCTGGTTATCCTATCCTCTGTTTTTCTGGCTCCTGTTGCACCTCAATATTTGTTTTCTCAGTGCTGGCACTCATCAATTCTCTTAGTTTTGAGATTTTTTTTGGATTGAACTGACCTTCTTGCAGACTGACTTCAGTGCTGACGAGTGCACTACTGGATGTTCCAGGATGATCCAAGAGCAACCCAGCCTTTGACCTACCAGAAAATTCTTAACCATCCCACAACTCTGGAGATATATTCGCAAAAGCTTCTTCAAGAAGGCATCATCACCCAGGACGTATGTCCCTTCACTCTAACTTTTGTGCTCGCCGTTCTTGACCAGAAACCGAGTCTTTTCAATTCTTTATCTAAACATGTGAAACTTACATTTAGAGCAAACTGAATATTATAACTTATTTGCAGGTCTTGACTAAGTGGGCTGAGGATGTGGATGCCAAGTTTGAGGCTGAGTATGCTGCCGCCGATTCATATGCTCCCACTTTGCATGAATGGCTGGCGAGCAACTGGCAAGGTACGTTGAGTTACTGTTCTTTGTGAAAGATTTAATGAATTGACAAATAACTAGGGTTTGAAAACTATGTAATGAACCAGCAGGTGAAGTTTCTATTAATTCGTTTCAGTAAAAACAATGCAGGTGAGGCCCTTGGATCGTCGAGTTCGAAACGTTACATCCAGCCAACTGGCCTGGATATTGAGAGTCTTAAAAGTGTGGTGAGTGAATCACTACTGATTGTACTTGAGGTGTGCTTAAATTTTATATATAGAGTTCAACCTAATTTTCGAAATGTACTTGAACTGGTGTATATTTTCATGTGCTTTTAGTTTTCCTCAACTTCAGGTGACCAAAATCGAGAGTAAATCTGCTGTATGTTGATTGGCAGGGAATTGCGATCAGTACACCACCTCCTGGGTTCAACTTACATCCTGATGTTAGCATTCTCTCCCAAAAGTCAGTTTTGCAGAGTTATGGATTGTAGCGACTGGGTTTCAGAGAGTTGTGCAGGGACACCATATAATTTTTGGCTAGTTTTGTTCTTTTTGATAACAGTCATGATCTGTATTTAATTAGGGCACCTTGCAAACTGCAGGTAGCAAATTTGCTTAAATCAAGAGCGCAGATGATGGAAACTGGAACGGGAATCGATTGGGCAATGGCTGAAGCTTTGGCAATGGGGTGCGTGTTAAATGACTCTCTGCATCATGTAATATTTAGAGCAGGTACAGAATGTCACGAAGTCAATATTCTCAATTTGGTTTACATGATGAGCATTTTTTTCTGATGAATATCGACGTTCATTTACAGGTCGTTGCTGTTGCATGCGGATCCATCGCGGGGGCAGACCCCTGTGAAGAATCCTCATTTTCCTGTGAGACTTAGTGGCCAGGATTGCGAGCGAGGCACTTTCAATCAACGTCACTCTGTCCTCTACGATCAGTCTACAGCAAAGCGGTCTGCTCCTTTTCCTGTCCTCTACTGTTGAGTAAATTATTATGTCCTGGAATGCTTGGTTTCAAAATTGATGCCTCATGGAAACCGGTGGCGTGGATGACGACAAGTTTCTTGCTGGTTGGTTTTCAGATACATACCATTGAATAACATTTGTCCTGGGCGACAAGCCGAGTTCGTCGTGTGCAATTCAAATTTATCAGAAGCCGCTATTTTGGGATTCGAATATGGTTTCAGCTTGGAGAACGAGAATGCTCTGGTTCTTTGGGAGGCTCAGGTGTGCATGACTTCTTATCATTTGTGGCTATAGTCATCTATCTTCTGAATAGCAATGTGGAACAACTAAAGGATGATTGAGGGGGACGTTTGACGTATCAACAATTCTATCTTAATTTTGTGTCATGGACATTCAGTTGTTTTGACTCTCAAATGTTTTGTTTTGCAGTTTGGAGACTTTACCAATAATGCGCAGTCTATAATTGATAACTTCATCGCCAGTGGCGAGGAGAAGTGGATGACACCTACAGGTCTAGTTCTATTACTGCCCCACGGTTATGATGGTCAAGGACCCGAGCACAGCTCTGCTCGATTGGAGCGTTTTTTGCAGGTACTCTTGGCGCCAACTGTAGAATTCTTTGGCTAGTTATATTTTTTCTTTCACGGTCTAACAAATTTCTTCGTTGTCAGCTCTGTAATGACGATCCAGACCATCTTCCTGGATTTGGGCCTCAGCACAAGTTGCAAATGGAGGCCGGTTTTGCTGCTGCTGATGAAGGTTTGTAGGTGGATTCCACTAATCATTGAGATCAGCGGGATTTGGAATTCACAAGCAATGGAGCTACTGTCAAGTTGAATGCAGCACTTCTTGTAATGGTGCATACTTACCCTGTGTCTATGGCTTTGTAGATGGCAAAGGCTACTTGACTCGAGCCGATCTGAAGGCGCTGATTAAAGGAGTTAGCCCTGAGCGCGTTGAGGTTCTGATGCAGGAGCTTGATTTTGGGCAACAAGACCGAATTGAAAGGTGATATTATCTCTATTTTTCTTTTTTCGTTTTTTTCGTATTCATTTGTACTGGTATCTATGCTGATTAAGAATTCCGACCGACAAATGTCGCAGCGCGGTTGAACATCAAACGTACCAGATTTTTTTCGTGATGGCAAAGGAGTAAGTCTGCATTATAGTTCTAGACTCTGCAGATCCAAATTGCTTTGCTGCATCTATTATTTCTATGAGGATGTAATTCGGATCGATGGTGGTGGTAGTATTTCCTGGTAATATTGTGCTCTCATTCATGCAGACGAGATTGGGATGTGTTCATGGCGCAGTGGATGCGACGCAATGCTGAGAAGGATCACAATCTGTAATATGTTTAACTCGGATACACTTGCTTTCGTCAGCTAATTCTAGTGCCTCTTTCATGGGTCTTTGTAGTTGGTACCTCCATCGTTAGAACGTTTCCTTCGTCTTTGGAGGATGTTGCACTACTTGGTAGCAGACTCACTTTATTCTGAGTGAGTTTTCAGGTTTATTTAAATTTCTCAACTTGTTTCTGAATTAAATGCTTCTTGTCGAACTGGCAGATGTGTGGTGAATATTACAACGCCAGCAAACTTCTTCCACTTGTTGCGACGTCAAGTGAGTTGTTCAATTGCAATAACCCATGAAGCTTTCAAGTTTGAGATAAGTTAATTCTTCTTGTGGTTCTCATGTGGCGGAAATCTTTGTTTTGATGCAGATGAATCGGCCTTATTCCAAGCCTGTGGTTGTGATGAGTCCAAAGGTGGGTTACGTTCCTCAGTGTAAGTGGTTTCATAGTCATATCCGAAGAATGAAAACAGGAGTTTTAATAGCTTAATGCGTTGCAATTGGAATATGAATTTCTCTTCCCAGTATAAACGTTTAGTAAACATGCCCCTAACGTGCTACAAGTCGTAAGACACACCAGTGAAATAATATTGTACTCTTGATGCGTGGCTTAACATTTTACTGGTTGTGCAGTATCTCCTGCATCATAAGCTATGTGTTTCTAAGCTTGCTGATATGGCTACAGGAACTTATTTCAGGTAAGTAACTATCCTTGCCTTCGAATTTATACCTCTGAAATGTTCGATTGAGGTCTTTTTTGTGTCTCAATCTTCTATAATTTCTCCTTCATTGACCTCAACTTTATTTTTGCTCCATCAGGCGAGTAATTGCAGACGGAGATGCCGCTGACAACGTTCGGAATACAATTGAATTACTTCCGCGGAAAGACATACAGAACCTTCTTGTGTGTTCTGGAAAGGTTATAGAAACGAATCATATCTTTCTACTCTATTCGTGTTATATGTCTGTGTAATTTCTGGAAGCTAGAAAAGGACTTCAATGCTGTGAGTAAATACGGTGCATGAGTTTTGATGAGTAATTGCCAACATACCTTAACTTGGGCTGATTGCAGATTTTCTACTTGCTCAGCAATGCAAGGCGTAGCCGGAAGCTGCGCAATGTGGCCATAGTGCGTCTGGAGCAGATCGCTCCCTTTCCGTTTGATCGAGTAGCTTCGGTTATCAACCGATATCCAAACGCCCAGCTGACATGGGTTCAGGTATGGATAATGAATCCTCCCGCTCGATGTGTGACGAAATTAAGCTTGCGATTAGATGATACTTTCCAAAACACGTGTACTCGGAATCTCTAATGCTTGGAAGCCAACTTGGGGAGTGTAGGAGGAGCCCAAGAACATGGGAGCGTGGGCGTATGTGCAGCCCAGACTAGCTACCGCCCTGCGAGAGCTTTGCCGTGGACGTGAGCATACCAACGTCCGGTTTGTTGGTCGTGCAACCAGCGCAACCACCGCTACAGGGAGCTTCCAAGTGCATCAAATGGAAATGAAGGCTATCATCAACGCTGCTTTTGAACTGAAGGACGTCGAAAGCACTCCCACAATTACTAGTACAACGCATGCCACTGCATTCGTGTGAGATACCAACGCTACTGTTGGGTATCATGTAGCATCTATCTCATCCCCATTCAGTCCCATTTGGTGATGGCAGTGCAGCAACTTGTCATCTCGCAGAGGTTGTCTTTCTTGCCAGAATCTTCAAGTGACATAGCAGGTGGTTGAGCTGGCTTGCATGAGACTGGACGGCATTTAGTAGCTGTAATATTTTGAGGGTTTGCAACACTTCAGCAGTGAAGCTGGCTACACGTGGTCTAGAACTCTGTATCAATGGTCTTGTTTATGAGCTTGTTTATTGAGTTATTTGTAGCTTATCTCTACAGCTTCCTCGCAGAGCCGGAATGGTAGTGACGAGGTTTAGTTCTACCTGACTGGCCAGTGGGTTCTACCTTTTAGTTGGCTTAGGCTTCCGCTACCTGATTTTAACAGGTTGCATATTTTTCTCAGGAACGGATATTACATGCTTTCCAAATTTGGTGCCAGACATGATGTTTCTCTAACTGGTTGCTCAGTGTGTTAGAGTTGCTCCTGTAGCTCATCTGCATTGGAAACTGTTTATGTGCATTGGTCTCCTACATCTTTATATAAGTTTGTGACCCAACCAATCAATCTAACAAAGAAGCTACATTTGTTGAACTAGTTGTGGCATGCGATTCAACATTTCCCAGGGCTCTCATAATTCTTATAGATGTTTGCACATCTTTAAGAATAGGAGCATAGAAATATACATCTGTAATAGTCGCAAACTCTGCTAACACCGTGCTTCCCGTCTCCAATGCTCCGACCCTACCAGTTCACAACCACTCGTGAGGTTACTTTGCATGCAATTTCTTCTGTGAATCACTAATTATTGCGGTTAACTTACTTCTGGTGATTGTGGGTCCTTGCAAATAACGTCTGATTTTGCTTAGATGAACTTGTTGACACTAGTCGTTGTATGAATTCTATTAGCACTTCAACCATTAGCTCCGGCTGTGCAATATAAGCAAGTATTTTCCTAATAAACTATCCATATGGATTAGTATTTATATGTGTATTGCTTCCACTACTTGGGTATGGTATTAGAGCAATGTTGTGAAACTCAAATGATCATAGTGGACTTATCTCTTAGCCTTTTAGTATGATGTAGTTTCTAATCTCAAAATTTCTTTATTTACAAAATTCTTATGCTTATTCACTAATATTTAGAAATAGTTTTAATTCTTCCTATGTCTATTCTAATTAACTAGCACTATGTCAAAGAATAATCTAGTTCCGAAGGAGGCCAGGCTAATCAGTTCATCTAACTTCCATTTGTAGAAATATATGATAACTTGTATAGCTAAAAAGGAGAAACTATGGTCAATTCTTTCAAGACAAGCTTCTAATTTAAAGATGTTAGGGAATTTGGATGATGTGAAGAGAGAGAAATTTGATGATGATAGCATGGAGCATTTGATGTACATAATGACTATGTCCATTAAATCAAGTATTCTATCTTAACTTATCAAGTTCTTGAAGGCAATACGTTTGTGGGATTCTTTGTGCATATTATTTGAAATAGATAATAATAATAGTCAAAAGTTCAATTTCAAGAATTGATTGGCTTTTATTTCCTTTTCTAAAAGTTGAGGCATAGTAGCTTACTTCTCCTAGTTTAAACAGACCTTAGCTCAATTGTTAGCAATCAAAATTATGGTTGACAATTCTGATCTTGTGCAAATTGTAATGAAGTTGTTGCTTGAAAATTTTAATTACTAGGTGTAGAATTATATGAGCTCTTAGAATTTTCTAACATTAGACCAACTATAAGCTTGCTTAATATTCATAGAAAATAAAAGACAATCTAAGACTAGTAGCAGGAGATCTCTTTTGATACCAAATATTGATACCAAAGCATTACACTTTTGAAGTCATTAACACCCTTAATTTAATAAAAAAAATCAACTCAATATTATTATTTCAATATCTAGAAATATGCCCAAGAAAACCAAAATCATAGTGAGATGACTCAATTCCATGAGTCAAGTGTAGAATACAAAAACCACAATATCAAGTGTTTTATTGCAAACATCTTGGTTACCTCAAGAAGATGTATCTCAAATGACTTGCAAATATTTAAAAACTCCAGGTTGATATGAGAGCCAAACTTGGTGTTCATTATTCAGCCCATATTATTCAAGATGAGTAGAATTAGCCAAAATTTGATACTTACGTAGTCATTGAGATTGTAAAATCACTAAACAATGAAAATTATGAGATGTTCAAAGCTGCACTTTCTTCTTTAGACTTGAATAACTCCAATTCAAGGTAGTACTTAGATTCAAGTATAATTGAGCACATCCATGACAATCATAATAGCTTCTCTATCTTAAATAAGTACATTGGTAGTATTAAAACTACCAATGGATAAAGCCATACTATTTTTAGAAAAAAATTATACATTTCAGTTTACCATGTGGAGAAATAAAGGATGTCTCTAATATTTTGTATGTGCATGATTTTAAAAAAAATATATTCTTGATTGGCTCTTTCATTGATAAGAGAATAATAGTATGTTTTGATAAACACAAATGTATCTTCTATAATAAAAATCAAAAATAAATAATTACAAATGGCATATAAAATAAGCAAAATGAATTTTATCAACTTGCAGCTTGCAACTTGGATATCATAATAGGGCTTGTACAAACTAACATTGACTTAGTTAGGCTTTGATATTTTCAACTACTACACATTGGCTTTCATCATTTATGTGAATTTATATCCAAAGGCATGGTATTTGATATTTCATACATACCCATTTACAACAAAGTTTGGTTGGATTGCTAAGTAAGTAATTCAAAGAAGGTTTTCTTTGTCAAAGTGAATCTCAAGCAAAAGACCACTTAAGTTATTACACATGGACCTATGTAGACCATATAAATTGCTCCTCTTAGCAAATCAAAAGTTATCTTTACTATTATAGATGGTTATAGTCACTACATTTATATATACTTTTTATGAAAAAAATTAGCTATGCTTTAGAGCGTCAAGACCTTTAAAGTCATGATTGAATTATACCTAAATAAGAAAATTTAAACCATTAGATGTGACAATATAAGAGATTTTTTATATGACAAGTTTATCAAGCTATATGAATCAACAAGCATGAAGTGCTAATTTACAAATGCCAATACTCCAAAACAAAATGAGGTCATAGAACAAATAAATTGAAACCTACTCAAAACAATGAAATATATGATTCTTTAAGCAGCAGCTCTAAGATTCTTGTAAATAGAATCACTTAACACTGCAACTTTTTTTTATCAATTACTTACTAACAATCACTATTTCTTTTCAAGTTACTTCCTTCAAATGTGTTTTTTTTAAAAAAAAATAGATATTTTATTTCTTTATATTTATGGTTCATGTGATTACATTTTGATTGACAAAAAGAAAAAAAATGAGACAAATTACAAACAAAGACTAAATTAGAATTGTTTGTTGGATATGACAACCAAACCAAGGATCATTGCATATAGATACCAAGCAACCACAAATTAGTAATAACTAAAAATATCCACTTAGCCGAGTCTAATATGCTTTTAAAATCAAATATTTCAAACTATAGATTTGTACTTATCATGTCAACTTCAATGCCCACAATCACCATGATATCCAAAAGTTTTAGATTTGATTTATTGCTTGCCTCAGCAGTACATGTGTTAAGTCTAATCCAAGTCATATCAATTTGTTCCCTAATTATCCATGAACTCAAGCTCCTTGATTCATTCACATTTGATATACTAGAGTTTGGTACATTGGTTCATAAACCTATTCAATAGATATCCTCTCAAATCAGAATTTAACCACCCAAAACAAGACAACTTTCTATTTTTTTATATGATAGTATTACCTACACCTCTGAATAAGTAGCAACTTCTTGTCATTATGCCTTGCTACAAACATCTATTGATTCTATTAAATTCTATGAATTAATAGAAATAAATTTTTTCTTTTAAAAAAATTATTTTTTAATAGAAGTTATCAAGGAACCTATCAATTTGATTTACTTATAAGAAGCCAATTCTTATACTAACTTACATGAATCCGTGGAGTCCAAAAGAGATTCTTTATTAAAAAGTAATACTTAAAAATTCTATAATAGGTTTTAAGGAATATTGTCTATCATAATTCATTAAATCTACAAAATCAAGATAGGATCCAAAAGAAAATAAAAACCTAAAGTGCTATTAATTCCTCATAGTTTCCAATAAATCAAAAGAATTAATTTTGACAAAATCTTTGTACTTGTAGCAAACCAAAAGATTGTGAGATCAAAAATTGAACTTTTGGCTAACAGTGATTGACCATTAATTCATAAAGGGTTTCAAAACTCTATGATACAAAATAAGGTGTATAGGTTAAAGAAGTCCTTATACAAGCTCAAAAAGACTTAAAGAGCTTGGTTTGAAATAATAAATTCCTTTTCTAATTAGTTTGGTTTATCTCAAACTAAGGCTCACTATAGCTTGTTTCATATCACTGATACCAACAAAATCATTGTATTGATCTTATATGTTGATTACATATTGCTCATTGGGTCAAACTTTGGTCTCATCAATCAACTTAAGTAGCAACTCATGCAATTATTTGAAATGTCCAATCTTAAAAATGTGGCCTTATATATAGGCATAGAATTTATCAAACTTTATATTAATATATTTTTTTTTTGACTCAAAAGTCTTGCTCTTTATAGATTTTATGTGAGTTTGATATGTTATAATGTACCCTTGCATGACTATCTATGATCAAAGACTTAAAATTAAAGGCAAAAGATGATTCTTTTAATGTTGATGCTAAGCTCTTTTAATAGCTTGTTGGCATTCTAATATATTTGGTCAATATCAAACTTGAATTTTTTGTCACTAGTATTTTGAGTCAATTTATATATAGTCCTCAAACTCTACACTTAGAAGTAACCAATCAAGTACTTAGATATTTATAAGATGCATTAAAACTTGATATTTTTTTTTAGTAAGTATGAGTGTCCTAAAATTATAGGCTATATATAGATTCAAATTAAGAAAATTTCTATGTAGACAAGAAATCAATCATTAGTTTGAAGACCAATATAATAGTCATCTAAGAAGCAAGATACAATAATCATTTTTTCTATTGACACCAAATCAAAAGCTTTGTTAGAAGGAATTTAAAAAGCCATATTGCTTTTCATCTTGTCAACCAAGATTCATGGCCTTGCACCTAATTCCATCATGATTATTTTTAATAACCAAAGTATTTTAAAAGTAGTTTGAAATCCAATTTATCATGAACAACTTAAATATATAGAATTATGGTTGTATTTTATTTTTAAAAAAAAAAAAAAAAAAAAAAAAAAAAAAAAAACTTACTCATAGAAATAGTAAATATTATGCATATTCAAACTCATGATCAAATTTCTAACTTCTTTACAAAGCTGATAGGAAAGCAAAGATTTATTAAGCTTAAGAACAAGTTTGGAATTAAACCTAAATATATTAAAGCAAAACTAAAATCTCTGCAAATAATATTTAATTTCTTCTATACTCTTAAAACTACAAATCTTTACATTGCTATGCTTGCTAATTTTTCTTTTGCAATCAAACCAACTATAGTAAAGCACCAACTTGAAGCCACATCATATAGCATAATATTTCTTAGCATTTGTTGTACGTGGTTGTGAATATCCTCAATTCCCACTCAATGTGTTAAAGTTGGCCTCTAAACTTCAATAGATGAACATGAACTCAACCTTTGAGCTTCATCTATTATTCCTTAACTTTTACTTTTAGTTGTCCACTATTTAATTAAAGCCATTATTTGGATCAACACATCCAAAAAGAAGTCCAAGGCATAATGAAAAAAGATGAGAGATAGGAATTAAAGACCTCAACCTACAACAAAACAATATTGTTTAAATTTTAGTTAGTTATTTAGTATACAACAACAATCTTAAAATCAAGAATAATTTACACTATTACCAATGATATGTTGGTAACTTGACACCAATTTTGTAATCTCTCCTTAATTATTGTCATCTTATTCATTAATTGTAAAAGCATCTTTTTTCACCTTTGTTTTTTTTTTTTTAGTATATTAGTATTATTTATGTATTCTTGCATCTTTATGTAAAGAAATGTTGATATAAGTCTGTCCACCTCAATGGATAGCATCATATGAATTCTGTTAATACTTCATCTATTAGCTCCAGTTATTTAATATAAGCTCAAGTACTTTCCTAATAAACTATCCTTATTGAATCAATATGTATGTATGTATTGCTTCTACTACTTATCAAATACTTATTTGATCATTAGATGGAAGGATGTTAGTAAGTTGTGTAGTGTGATTGCATGACTTTGAGCAGCAACTTACTCTCTCTATTACACACTTTTAGACATTGTGATGCTCATGAAGTTTTTATTTTTGCTTTGATTTGAAATTGTTTGCACTAAACTAAGTTGATGATGCATACAAGAACTTCAGCCTTCAAGAATGTGCAAGTGTAAGTTATAAGTATAAGTCACATATGTATTCTTTATTTTGGTCTTGGTTTGGTTTGAGTATACAATTGTGATCCATTGGATTCCAATCATGTATTAATAATTTTTCTTGCGACTTGCAAACATTCTTGTATAATTTATAAACTAAAATGAGATCTTTTTGTAGGATTTGTTTAAATTGACTGAAGAGAATTTGATAATTATTTTTATTCATGAATATTTACTTTAATAAAATAATTAACAACCTCTTTTATTTAACTTAAAATCAGATTAATAAGTTGCTTTCATAATCAACATGTGAGAAATATAATAGTAAGCTTTTTTATTTTTTTCTTTTTTCTTTTATATTTTTATTTTTTCTTTATTTTTTCTATTTTTTCTTTTCTTTTCAAATAATACTTTTAGCTTCGTAATTGCTTTTTAGAATTTATATGCAGTCCAAGAAATGTATCAATAGATACTTTGAGTTATGACATAAACAGAAGGAGATTGTCTTATGAGATGGAATAATAAAAACATCAAAATTAAAAAAATATATTATATATCATTTATTTCAAATCTCTCTATAAAATAACCTTTAGAAAATTACAAATTAAAATATATATATATATATATATATATATTTATTTATTTGTATATTACATCATATTTCTATTGATTGCAAATAATAGGATACAATCATATGTAAAAAATGTTAATCAATTAATAATCAACATATGTCACTACCATCTATTATTTTTGTAATTATTTTATTAATTACTACTTACGTTCTGAAGTTTTATAATATATAATAAAGATAGCTCGAATTTATATTGCATTATATAAAATAGATTACTTTTACCTAGAAGATTTGGTACAAATAATAATAATAATAATTATAAAAAGTCATACTATAATTTCTAAACATTCAATACCACCACATTCTACAGTTTACTTTCGAATCTATACCACCACCTAGTTATCATCACCTTGTCAGGAATCTCAGATTTATTCAAAACTTTAACAGGAAGGTTCATCTTTCATAATTCTTTTATACCTACAACCTTCATGTCATGGATACACACAAATCATTTCAACTCACTCTCCACTGCACCCAGTAGAAAGTTACTGCAACAAGCCACAACTTATTAAGGTAACATTATAAACACATGGTGACTTGGGTGATGGGCATGGCAAGCTTGGCAAACATGTGATAGGCTGTGGATACAATTTGGTACTAAGTTAGGCTAATGTTTAACATAGATTCTAGCCCACTTCCTGTACGAATGAAGAGTATTGTGTCTTTCCCTGCGATCGAATCTCTAACAATCATGATCCATGGAGAATTGGTCTATTTACTGAAGTGAAGGTAAAAAATCTGGAAGCACTCGGGAACAGTGTGCTTCATCAGTAGGTTGGTGATGTGCTACCTCTAGACTGCAACAAACCGTAAGCCGGCAACCCTGCATAAGCGTCAAATGTCCCACTAGCCGCAACAATTGGTGGGGCCGGCAAAGCCAAAGGTAAAAGCTGCGCATACATATTCTGCAGGCAGCACGATGTTTTTAATCAACATGCCCTTCTTTTCAATATTGCAACTCCAAAAATGAGCAGACAGGCTCTACCAAACTCTTAGATTTAATTCCATCATAAATTTAGCACGCTGATAGAAGTGCATCATATCAAACTTCATTTACTGTACTGCTCAGCATGTAAACCAGCGACAGGATTTGTTGTACCGAATCTGCTACCAAATTGTGGTCGAGTTTCCCATGCACATCATCCTGGTTCTTGTAGCTCATGAGATGAGCAACCTTCAAAGAGTACTCTCGGAGGTACTGCGAAATTAGACGACTCAGAGAATGTAGGAAACCGATGTTCTGCATACCACAAGATCATACCTAGAGGAGAAAATTTTAACAATCACATTGACGTTACGAAAGCCACTGTTGCACTACACACCTGGAGCAGGAAAGGGTAGGCGAAATCCATCATATTGTTCATCCAAGCCAACTCTATCACCACATCAGCTTGAATGAGATCATAACAGGTGTACAGGCATGCGGCAAAACACTCTTTCTTGCCCTACGGATCAACCAGATTGAGGTTCAAACTCACACCACACCAAGGGTTCCCGAACAGTTAATTTCTTTGGTTACAATGGTTGAACAGTCAAATCCACTGGAAATCTCATGAGCAGCAATGCAAACAATCACAGATGGCCAAACTAATATACCTCTTTGACAAAGAAAGTTAGCAACTCTTCTACAAATACACTGTCGCCAGACTGTGACGTGGTCTCCATGGCATCCGAAAAAAGGTTATCCTTTTTGGAAAGAGCTACTGATTGCTGCCACCTCCCAGCCTTCTTATATATGTAAGCAGCAATTCTTCGCATTTCCAGAAGTTCATGATTCTCGATCTAATTGCAAAAAAGGATAATCGTTAGCCATTCAAGATAAATCAATCACACCTTTCGTTCTCCTTAAGTCATTTACTGCAAGTTCAAAACAACCCTGCAACTTTTGTCTTCCGATCGGAAGAAAACATGTGGTACCAAAACGTAGAACTGCAATTGTTTGAAAAAACTCGGAAAGCATGAAAAACTCAACTATGTAAATTACTTGTATGGATGGAGTAAAGATCAAACACTCACACGCTGTGCCATGGCAATTGGATCAAAATTATCATAAGTGTCGATGGACTCTCTAATCATTTCATAGTCCTCTTCTTCGATGTAGAGCTCATTGAGAGCTTCATTCACAGCACTCAAGTTGCAATTTTGAACAGCTTGCATATACGGCTTCACCAGAGGCAAATGTCCTGCCTGCGAGAATTAGTACTACGTCGCTTACGTAAGAAAGAAATGATATGCTCTGATTTAGCATCTTGACTCTATCCACATATTTGTTCTAATGAAGAGGCGCTGCTTTAAGTAATCGTACCTTCCTCATGATATCCACTGCACGGCTGTGATCAACACGGGTTACCAAAACAGCGAGAAGGTCGTTGAGAATTTCTGGATGCTCTTGCAGATAGAACTGGATAGCTTTGTAGTACAATTCTACGTTAGCCACCTTGCTAACCACATCCTTAAACTGAATATGATCCCAGGCGTCGGGAGAATGACCCATGATGGTTGCTGCTGCATTGTCATACTCTTCATATTGGATGTATAAGTAGGAAAGCTCCTTCCAGTGGTGATGCTCGTCACAGATACGAAGAAGCTTGGGAATATTAATGCGGGTAGAGAAGAGATTTAGATGTTCCATGAGCTTCTCTGGACGGTATTTCGCATATAAAATTCCAAGCTCCGTAAATATCCCCATGTGAGCCCGTTCCAGACCAATTCCACTTTCCATCAACATTATGAGCTCATCGAAGTTGCCCTTATTCTGGTAGTATTCGCTAACCTCTTCCAAAAGATCCACCTTCCACAGCCACAAAAAGCCCATTTCATTCAAATTCAAAAATGAACTAGGCATGGTGTTGATCCTGAAGATATCAGGTTTCATCCATTAAATTCTGTATGATACATTATGTTGACTAAGCCAATACCTGAATAATGATCTTAAGGCCACAAATTTGAGCCAACCGAAATTCCTCGGTATCCACGCAAGCAAAACAAACTTCCCTCCATGTTTTAGAGCTATTTGCTTTATGAGCAACTTCGATTGCAGCTTGGAACTGATATAACTTCACCAGAGTGCTGGTAAGACGAGGCCAATTCCCAATGTGAGAGAAGACAACCTTGGCAGCTTGATAAAGCTCTTCATTAAAGAGACGGTCCCCAACCACGAGTAGATTTGCTACACAGCCATTGGGTTGTGCGACAATTTCTGTAAGATCGTCAAGGCGACTCATTTTAGCATAGGCAAAGATTAGCGCCGAATCTACCTGTGGCTCCTTAACCTTCTGGCGCACCATAATCAAATAACGCACTAGATTATCATAAGCTTTGAGCTTTCCAGCTTCTCTTATGACATTAGTGAACTGGGAAGCATCTTTGGCGCGAACAAAGGAATCAATTGCATCACTTATGGGACCGTCTCTGAGTTGTGCTTTGCCAACTTGGCTCCACACCTCGTCTACTTCCACACGTTCGGCAAACTCGGCAGCTCGCCCTATGCTGTGAAGATTGTCTAGAAGGACATTGACAGCTTGCACATTCAAGTTAAATTTCTTGAAGATCATAAACGCTTCCTCGTACAGCTGGGCTCCAACAGCAATCTCTCCAACAGCTGGACCATCAAAGTTCTCCAAACGGTGGATGTAATCCATCACTCGTGATTTTTCAGTTTTCACGGCAGTTAAAATCAAGAGGTTTTGTAAATTGGGGTTGCTACTAAAGGCTGTGTTTTGAAGGACAATCTTCTCCAACAGTTCAATAAGTTCGTTTGGCAAGTTGGCAGACATGAAGGCTTTCACAGTAACTGAGACCTGCTCAGGGCTCTTGCTCTCTGGTAGTGCTGTAGATACCACCTGGTCAATCAACTGACGCCTGAATGGGTTCTCAGGGTCTAATATCTTAGCCCACAAAGTCGCATCCATACGCTCCACCACATATCTATCACAAAATTCAGGACATGTCGATATTGGTTAGAAAATGCTGGTTGTAACAATTAAAAGATTTATGCACTTATTTTGTAACGTCACTTCAGTTCAGAAGAATTTTCAGAAACATAAATTTCATATCTTAAGTTAGTAGAGACATCAAAGAAAGAGAGACACCTAGCCTGAAGCTTGAAAAGGGAGTTTCTTGTTGTCACGTTAACTAGTTCATCATCACATTGACCCCGCCGATATGCCACTACCGCTAGTGACGAATCCCGTTTCTCACAATACTTGCCAACAACTCGAGAATCATAGTATGAATTTGTATATAGGAACTGCTCTGGGTTGTTATTTGTGTCGATAGTAACCTTCCCCAAGGCATTGTGAACTTGAACGTCTTTGCTTCCCTCGCTTACAAGGTGCTCCAGTAACGGCGTCAGCAGTTTGAGTCGATTCCTGAAAAACATGATTCAAACGCTAAAAATCCTCATTATTGTAATTGAATTCACTTAAACTAGGAATCACATACCTGTGGATTTGGTCAATATCTGAGCTAATATGAAGAGAATTAGGTTCAAAGTTACTAAATAAATTCCAGGTTTAAGTCACACTAATTTGCATACCAAATAAATAACAGGCAAACTAAATGACCTTTTCTCACATTCGTCCACAAGTGCCTCCACCGACAATAGTGACCGAACGGAGAGCAGCAATCCTTTGATAAATTCTTCCGGGCAGTCATCATCCAATAATTGACTTAAGACTTGTGGTGCTTTGCTTGGATTAACCTGTCAACTTATCACGACAATAGATTATGAGGAGACATAAACTGTGAGCAAACAAGTTAGTTTCAAGTGGTGAAAATTGCAGACATAAATGATAAGGTAACATCTGATACATTGCAGCATTGGATTTGATTCTTATACAGCCAAAAGGAATAACAAATGTAGCAAATAAACAGGGCAAACTAATGTTGTATCGGATTTACCTTTTGAACATATCCTTCTATAAACCGCAGCATATTGTTCACATACAGATAATGTATTAAATCGGGCACAAAATCATGGCGATCACAGACATTTATAAGAGGGCGAGCATCCTGTAGTTTAGCTTCCATTAGAAAAGATTTTGTTCGCTCAGCTGGATAGAAATTGGACTCCCTTGTGATGCGTTCAACTTCCTTAAACTGAGCAGTCTTTGCTGCAGATTCAATGTATTTGAAATGAACCTCTGGATCCTCACTGCATCAACCTCTTGCAGCAACGAAGCTTGTTGATTTTTCAAACCGGATAACATAAAAGTCACCAAATTATATATATTGAAATAAAACCAAGCACAATTATGTATGAAAGATTTAGGAACAAGACGTTCAGGCAAGGACAGCTGTCATCATTACAAATTAAAATCTCCATGCTAGTTTCATTAGCGGAGAAATGGTTCTGGAGTGAAAAAGTCGGAACATAAACCTGGAGTTCACATAGAAATTGAGGAAGAGAAATAAACCCTCATAGGACTTGAATTCATCAAACATGTTAATACAAGCATTAATGCCTAGTTGCTCAGCATACTCCTTGGCCACCTTATACCACAAGTAAACATGGGTGCATCAAAGTTTGTTGGCTTTTGCGGAAGAGGTCATGAGTGTTTAACAATAATTATGGTATACCTCTGGTGTAAACAATTATTGTCTTAATTTGCGTAATTGCAGTATCATGAACTAATGGCTCGCATGAAAGTTCTGTAAGATATCTCCGTTGTTAAATATTTGTATGACAAAGTGGAAGACCACCTGTACTTTCAGCACATGAAGGCTCACTACACGAACAAGGTCAGCATAAACACTTTACCTATAGAAGCACAATAAGATCAACATAATTGTACCTGGACCACAATTTGCAAGTTGGCTCGCAAGTTAGCCGAAAGAAGTTCCTTCATACATTCTAATGCCCAATCTTTGGAGAGCGTCCCAAAGAAATCCATCAATGCCTGAAACAAATTAAAATAAAATAAAATTTTATTATCTGTAAATAGAACTTTGGTCTTACCTGGTTGTTTTCAGTACCTATAATTTTACAAAATCAGAACCAGAAATCCAATTAAAGACTTCGCATTTAACAGAAGAACAAATGAAGTATATACCTGAGATTCGATGGCATGGGTGTTGATGATCACACGCTTGATGTCGCTCAGCTCCGTATAGAGCTGAAGTGATAAAACATCAACGCGGCGATTTAAGTCGTGTAAAGTAGTTATGCTCAATTCTAGACGAGGTTTATAGTTGCAGCGGATAAAAAGTATGGTATAAAATGTCATTACACTAGCAAGCGAATTTCTAAACCTGCATAGCACGCATATACACGCCAGCCTTCTCACAAAGCTGAGCAATTCGAGGACGGTCATAATGTTTGAAGATGCCATTAGTCAAAATCGCATCTGCGACGTTTGGAAAAGTGACAAGATTGATTTCGAGAGCCTGTATACACGTGGAAAGTACAGCATGAGTTAAGGAATCATAAAAAATCAGCAAATGTAACTGAGAAGCTAGATTTAAATTTTTACCTTTGTTTGAAGAGCACCATGTTCCGGCAAGTTGGGCTTGAGAACATCAAGTAGGAATGCAGTGGCCTCCCTAATCATGTTACGCTGTACAAAGCGATAAATTAAACGTATTAGCACTTCCTGATACGTAAACCACACAATTCAATAATGGATTTACATCTTTTCAAAATGTTCGTACATATACTCAATATGGAAGCAGAGAGAGGTGACATTGGAGCATAACAATATCGGTGGGGTGCATTTCCAAGAAAATTTTCAGGAAAGTAGAAAGAGCAAAAAACTTCAACCTGGAGGAAAAAATCTGTAATGGTATTATAGTCCACTGGACTGCCACCTTTCATTTCTGACATCTTTACTGCAAAATTCACCGCCCCCTACATTGAAAAGTCTCAAGTCAACTTGGCATGTGAAAGAACATAAAGTGATGCAAGTTGAGATCTCTCATGCTTCAACTTCCATACGTCAAATTAACGGTTGGACTTAGTAGCACAGCTGTATACCTGAGGATCTGTTTGTGTGATAGTTTGCAGCAAAGATAAGTAGTCTGGAGTGTAGCCAACCTGAAAAACGAAACCAGGATGCAGTATTAACAAATGAAACCTTACCTTTGCAAATAGTAAGATCCAGTGCACTTAAAATGAAAAAAATTGTTGGGAAGTGAAAATCAATGTGTCAGAGTTTGCAACATGGTTTCTAGGAGGCAAGATTGGACTGCTCAAGCTTGTGCAGGAACCAGAAAACATGTTTTACTTGAGCAATGTCAACCGTAGATTCACGTACCTGATTGGAATAAATAAGGATCTTTTCAAATTCTTGACGTTGGGCAAACAGTACCACTACTTTTGGAGAAGCCCTAGCTTTAATGTAGATCTTTAGTGCCAAATCCTTATCTACGCTCTGCAAGCTCAGAAATATGAGAGTTAATCATATAATCATATAATCATAGAATACTGAAAGCAATTTGGTGAATGTGGACAGCATGGTTCGAACTTGCGGAACATAATTGTCACCCACCAAGGTGCACAACAAAGTCCAGATATTTTGTAATAAAATAATAACGTTCAGTGTGATGGAAAAACCTACCAAAATTCCTATTACGGTGACAATTCCAATATCAAGCACTTGCGCACGATACCCGAAAATGTGGAGTTATCAACATAACTTCAAAAGGATTCGCAATTTATTACCAAGCTTGCAAACTAGCCTTAACAAGTCCTTCTAATGTCCGGTCTCCTGTAATACCGCACTTTTGTATACCAGCATCGACAACACCGTCAAACTTTTGGTTCACGTTACCATTACTATTCTCACCTTTACAAGATCTCCCAGCTCCTCACTGCAATCTAGTTTATCCTCTGTTAACCATGTTTCCAACAAATGGTTCTTCTTTTGGCTTACAACCAAACGGGTAAGCTCCAAGGATTCGAAAGCATTTAATTTTCCTTTGTTCAACAAGGTTCCAAAGTATCGCAACAATGGAGAGGTCTGCCCTGCTTGTATGGGTACAGTCTGTCCAAACAAAAACCAACAGAAATGCAAATAAACCATGCCAACATTGCGAGTCTCACAATTTCGAAATAGAATGCATGTTATAGCTACATGGTCAATTATTTTTCAGCATTTACAAATCATCTTATCTTTTGCGTTGAAGCTTTCACAATTTAAGTTCAACATACCCGAAACCTGGCTATGGTTTCTGGAGTGCGGAGAATGCCTTGGGGCGACTCTGCTGCGAGCTCTGCTGCTTCTGTGTGTTTATGCTCGAGGAACAACTCCTGAAATCGCTGTACAATCTGCGTGGCACACAAAACGAAGTGGCCTATGCAATTACATTTTTCACACAAATTACCAGGACTATGCGAGCACAAACCCACATGAAAGCACATGGTTAACACATATTAGGTAAAGCATGATTACCAAATTATCTGCCCCTGGTAGATTTCCTCGCTTCGCAAGACTGACGGCAAGCTCCAGATTATTCAACTGTAATTTCCGTATATATTCAGTAATTCAAGGGTTAATCCATACCATTTCAACAACTGGAACTGAGACAAGAACCTCAACGCTTTAGAATCGTTACCCAGCAAAGTGGACTTGAAATTTTTAAGAGGGTAAAACAAATAAGAATATTCTTCAAATACTTTCACACTTCGTACCATATAGCAAATCGTTACCTGTATGCTAACGAACGGAACAATCGTTGCTTCATTCACAGTGGCAAGCAAAACTTGTCCACGGCGATTAATTGCATAAAACCCACCTGCTTCAGTAGCTTCTGCCGTCAAAAAGATTGGATCGGGGCTAATTCGGTTTCTGTAAACGGCTGTTGCAGTCTCTAGGTCGTAAACAAAAAGTAACCCGAGCTTGGTAATAACAAAAATCAGGTTGTATTTGGAGGTTATCTGCACAAAATTAGGAGATGATAGTATTATGCTTCACGGTATGCGTCCTCAAATGTCAACTCAAAAGGCTGTCTAGCGTATTGCAAGCTCCTGTGAATAAGCATTAGGGCTCTTCAACTCACTTGCATAGCCACTGGGAAATCATCTGCGAAGTCCGGCGGGAAGAAAAGATCTGCTTGCTTTTTGGTAAAACTAGGTTTGCCTGATTCAGCTTCAATCAAGCAAGAGTATACATCAAAGATGTGCGATCTCGCAGATAGATATGCAATATGCTTCAGAGGAATTGTTTCAGAAAAACGACGAATAGTTCTGGGAAAACAAGCGCTCTAAGTCTGCTTAATTAAATTAGAAAAAAAGTAAACAGTACTTTAATAAACGTTCACGATAGTGCAAAAATCACTCCAAATGTATGTGAAAGGATGACAGTGCACAGCATTTACCTGGTTGGGCTCCTAGTTCAATAACATGCAGCTTGGAGATGATTTGCCCCGCCACAACCGTTTTAGTCGCGAATGAGATGAGAGTGGAGGAATGATCACCACCTGGAAGCTGAGCAGGAATACAACAAATCAAAAGTCATAAGAAGACCTAGTTTATTAGAAAGACAATGACCATAACCAACATCGAACATGGTTCATACTCTAGAGAAGTTATATTACGATGTTCCTGAAATTCATGAAGGCTCATGATACCTCAATCGACGCGAAGACTGCTGCATGAGCTTCCAGGGCCTGACTCCGCTGCTGGTCCACGGAGAACAGCTGCATGTTGCCCTTAACCAGTGCCGGACGCTGCGGACGCCCGCATACTTATTTCAAAAATTCAGAAACGAGGGAGAACATGTTTATGAATTGAACAAAAAAATCTATGAGTAGGATTATATTTTCAAATTCTGTCCTCATTTTACTCCGCAGTCAATCAGTTTTACCTCCTGTGATCCAGGTGCAATGCCAATGAGCACGAGCCACTTCTCAGATGCGTCGCATCGGTAGTTAATTATCTGGTTGGACATGAGACTCGCCGTCCTCTCGAACATTTTCTGAGGCTCAGACTCACCTGTTTCGACAACCATGCTCCCTAATTAACTGCAATATGATGCAAGGCCTTCCCACACCAAGAACACTGACTATTTTGTTCACAACGGTTCTTTCGAATATGTTGGTGACCAGATATCTCTTGTGAAGAATGTTCACCTTCTATTGACCAGTGATACACCGCTGTCTGTGTGACAAGCCCTAGCAAACTTGATGTAACCCATTTCCAGAAAACAACCTGCAAAGTGATTAAAACAATGTGGCTCATGAAAGTTGCCATGGTTCATACACCGCTGATTGTCCCGTTTCCAAAATCAGAAAGTAGGTTTCCCGATTTGACAGTTTATCAACATTCAGTTCAATCATACCGGGGTATTATCTTGCCATATTGAACAACTTTTAAGAAATACAAGACCCGCGTTACATACCTGCTCCAGCATCATGTGAGCCTTAACTTTCGACTTCAACTCGATATTGAAGATCTGCAAATGGTCTTGTGTTGTTCCAGGAATTTGAGCTGTTTCCACCACACTTTTTGTTATAGCATGCGATATACTATCAAATCCGTTAATAACCGCATGAAAATCTCCGATCGGAATCTAAAAACAGAAGTATATCAACTTCAAATTTGTCAATCATCCTCTGAGACAATTCATGGTACGATGTTTTACACTTTGAAAACATAAGTGATTTCTTTTACCGAAATGTATACAATTATCGTGACACACACTGGAACAAGGTTACATTTGGAAGTAATCCGTGAAGTTCGAGATAACGCGCCTGCCCTAGAACTGCAACGTGCAAGATGCTGTGAGAAATTTCTCTAGTTCGTGATTTGTTAACCTAACTTGCCTTTGAGGGCGAGAACTTTGCTGGATGGATTCATAAGAGCCGAGTCTGCTGTTATGGGTCTTCGTAACGGCTGCATGGGCGAAGCCATGTCGATAATCACTACATTGTTTTGTGGCGATGTCTCGCGCACGCAGATGTACTTGTCAGAATCCATAGTCACATGTGTGAATGTGACAAACTGTGGGAGGATTCCGATGCTTGTAAGCTGAGAGACAACTATCCAAAAACATGGTTAGTCTCGAAAGGAATTTCTGTGATGATACAATCGTGGATCTTACACAAGAATCACATACTCCCCACAATAAAGTGAACGCGTTGAATTGTACCGCCAGAGCCTCTTTCACAGTAATCGGACCGTTCGCCGCCATAGCAACTTCACTAGCCTTCGGTTACCGAACTTTCTTTCTTGAACCCAAAAGGTTGATGGAAGAATAACTCCGAATGCCTGATTCGACGATTTGTGATCACGATGCCTCGAGGAGATACTTGCCCTCTTGATAATATTTCAATATAGGGGGTTCACTGGAGTGATCCGAATTGCAGAAAAGATGAGAAGGATGCTCAAATTTGACGACTGTCTTGTGCTAATCAAATTACATATGATTATTCAGTATCTGTGGTGACTTCAGTAAGGCACAAACAGTGTATGGGTTTGCGTGCGAACAAGCACTGTCATCAAATTATGCTGGTGCACAATTTCAAATAACTTATCATACAGAGACATGATGTTTCTCGTGTGATAAGCGAAAATTGTTGTAACGAACATATTTTAGCCAATTAGCCCGATGCCCATGCTCGACTACTTTCCCCTAAGCTACTTTAGACATCAATTTTCTCCTTCCGTGGGCCCAGACGAATCAAGAAGCACAAGAAATGGTTCACTATTGTGGGTTACGACAACGACGTTTTCCCTAACAAAGTCTGGTCAGATACACGTGCAAGAAAATGTTGGGGGACAATGGTGGATGTTGGTGCTGTGTGAAAGTCAAGGGATACTCCTGACAGATCTCCGGCTTTCACTAATGCTCATAAAATTAACACGGTTTGTCACGACCAATCATCGACCAGCAGAAACCATTTCAAGTTCCCGACTGCTCTCGTTCAAGGATTCTACTCAAGAAGTGTGCAAACTTCGACAGACATTTCGGAATACGTGACAGATTAACTAAAAAACCTTATGATCTGATTCGAAGTCATACATAACTGCTAATGAGCAGCCTCTAGTAAGTTGAGATGTAGCGAAATCGTATGATTTCATTCTTCGGAACCGTGCGAATTCATACTAAAAGACGCTCCCCCGCAAAACACATGTAACGTGACAATTTTACTCGCATTCTATGCAAACCATGCGGCTCGCCTTATCGATTACCGTTTACTACCTAGACGAAGACGAGACGATATCCCATATGACCCGGTTGTCCAGAATGGTGCTAGACGGATACCGTGTTAAGACATTTTTAGATCTGTCATTAAGTGCATCGATGAATGGAACTATACAAGAAATATTAAAAAAACAAAAAAACAAAAAACAAAGTATCAATGCAGTGCACAGTGAACAATAGCATCCAACAATTTCGTACACCGGAAACTGTCACTGAAGAGATACCACAAATCTCGACAATTAAGATGCTGACAATATACATAAGACAACACAAACTAAGTGAAAAGCTGGAGTCAGGTCTTGACTCATGAAACAAACTTGATGACATCTGGAGTCACTAAGCCCCAGTAAGCTCAAATGTGCCAAGCCTAAGACTAACAGGGCCGTCATGACTCTTATCCTGATTGCACACAGCTGGGAAAACGGCAATCCTTTCTGACTAGTAAACACCACTCAACCGACAGAAAAGTAGCATCAGCAAAGCATGAAGGCTGGTCTTCAACAATGGTATTGCCATCTAGACCTCAATATAAAGCCGTCACTAAAAAAAGAAAAAAGAAAAGGAAAAGAAACTTTCAAGCGTTGTAATAGCTTCACATCCCAACGTCGAAGCGCTTCATTCATGCACAACTGTTTGTCCAACACAAGGGGTCTTAGCATCTTCAAGTTTCATTCCTGCCTGCAAAACCAATTAATGCACATGATATTAATTCAGAAGGTGGTATTGTAGTCGGATCAGGAGGGGACTTGACGTACGAGAAAAGCGACTCAAACTCATCGCCTTTCATTTCACAACTGGAACATGCTTTTACATGGAAAAGAACCGACAAACAGCTTAGCTTGTCAGTTGAGTATGCAAACAATTACCTGAAATGTAGTTGGGAGATCTACATGTCCGCCTCCTGGAGCCTCCGTTCGTCGGGTGAGTATTGCCTCGGCGATGGGGACCTTCGTCTTCTTGGGGGAACCGATGGTGAACTACCCGGACTTCGCGACCTAGAAAATTTTCAAATTGCGATCAAACAAAGCACCAAAAAACATTTAAGGGACATTGGTTTAGTTTCGTTTGATATGTGTTTCCTGAACCCATTATAAGAACCGCGAGTACTTACCGAGAACCGTACTGATCCCTACCGTTTGCGCGGGCTTGAGGATCTCTAGATCGAGATGGTGGAGATGGAGACCTTTTAGACGAATCAGGAGTTCGATCTCGCGTCCTCCTATGAGATTTTACAGGAGAGGGTGATCTGGAAGGAGCATTACCATGATATCCTGGAGAGGGCGTGTATGACCTACGGCGGTGACCCCTGCCTGTTCGGGAAGGTGACCTGTACATCAGCGCAGCATCATTATCGGCACCCACCACAAAACGCACCTTAGCGAATTTCTCGAAACAATGTGAAAAAATGTTACGACTTGACATCATTAATCAATAATAGCTTACCTTGACCTGCGACCACCACGGGGAGAAGGGGAAAATCGCCGTGGAGAACGTGAACGTGATCCTATTGCATAAAGTAGCCATGAGATCAGAAATACAACCAAACTGAAAGAATACAGTAAATTTACACTTATCACCAGCTCATGAATTAGACCAGGTATTTGGCATAGACAAAAGGAGAAGCAGAGTCAGAGAAAAATATGCCAGGACAAGGACACACCTCTACGCCCTCCAAATCCAGGTCGACCCCTGCAAAACACACCAGATCCCTTCTGAATTTCGTAGCCAGTATGGTGACTTCTCTAAGGAATTATACCTCATTAATGCCTCTATTAAGTCAATATTGAATAACTATTTTCCACCTCAATAATGGCCAGCCACACCCATATACCAGTTCTCTCGATCCAACCAGACATAGCACCAAAATAAGTACCTGATACGCTCCTTTATGCGCATTTCTTGAGGTTTCTTCCGGTTCTCCTCGGCGAACACTACAGTAATTTCACGTCCTGCTATCAACTGGTGATCCAGACAGTACTGCGCTTCTGCAGCATCTCGTGGTTCTAAAAATTGCACAAATCCAAACCCTCGTGGTAGTCTGCAATCTCACACAAAAATCCTGTTAGAAGGTGAGGGACAGTTGCATCATGACTATCTTGTCCTGATACGAACCCGGACAAAGTGTAAGTTTCCAGCGCCGTGTGTGTTCGAGAATGTGCAAAACCCTGGTAAACCGTCCTCTCATGCATGAACCCCTGGTTACGCACGCTCTGAACCGAGTTTTTACTTAAAGGATTCTTTCGTACATTATATCTTAATACGACCACCCGTGATAATAGCTGCTAACCTTGAGGCCAACACACGCCCCTAATGACCGCCTTAATTGTGTATTCTTTCATCTTCCAATTCTTGCATAACATTCTTCCAGTAAATTTTGGGACTGCATGGTACTTCATACTTCATAGGATTTGATCTCAACTTCCACACTGCTGGGTAGACATCATTGACCCTTTCCATCCCTTCCACCACTTCAATCACCTTGGGCCACCGAATAGACACTATCTTCTCTTCAACTTGTCTATCTTGAAGCTTTCTTGGAACTTCATAGAACCTTCTGGGAACTGATTCCAGGAATAGGACCTTCATCTCTACAACCTTTCGGGAGCCAAGAGTTAGGCAAACCAATATCATTCAGTATTACACTTGTTTCTTTGTTCTTTTCTCTTTTTTCTTTTATTTGGAGAGTACCTTCAGGTTTTGTCGTACCAAGTACTCCTGACAAGTTTTCGTTCATCTACCGAATATCTGCTAATTTCCAAACAAAGTGGTCCTTCCACCCTTGTTTCACTCATGCCAGATAACAGCCAGAGTCCAAGCCCTCAGCATGAGACATATAAACATACCCTGTGTAGTAGTCCCTTGGTAAATATACGTCCTTTACAACCCCGTAACGCTCGAAAGGAATACGAAGATCGTCAGCGCTGTGTGATCATAAATTCACGATGTCAGTTCATTTTCGTTCCACAAGAGAACCCTATCGAATCCAAATCATGCAAAGCAGTACGACTAAAAGTGTTTCAAAAATTCACCACTAGAGGCCAGCCACGTGCCAAAACATAGAAACCACTCTTTAACTTACGTGCAGTCGCGCGGGATATTGCGAACGAGGAGACTAGTAGGAGGCTCGGGTTCCCTCCCATACCCACCACGACCACCTCGAGGGGGAGGGCTAGGACTGCGCCTCCTCCCGCCATAACTCCTTCGCGGAGGACTATCATAACCCCTGCGCGGAGGGCTGTCGTAGCCCCTGCGCGGACTGTAGTACGGGCTGCGCCCTCTCATTGCAACCTCTGCAAATAAAAACAAATAAAATAAAAAGAAAAATAAAAATAAACACACAATTAACCACAAAATTAACCACAAAAGAAAACAACATCGATCCCAACGAACACACACACACACGCAACTCCTCGAAAACACCAAACTAACCAATTCACAAGAAAGAGAGTAGCCACGAACGGCACTCAAACCCACAATACTGACAAAAGACGAGACGCTTGTCGAGGTACTCAACCAAACCAAAAACCCTAGCACTCCGCAAACTTTGACACGCGCTCCGCTCCTTTCTAAACAAGCTCACCAGCAGAAAAGACGACAATCACCACAGTCTCACAACGGAACGGCAAGGCTTGAGAAAACTCACCACACGTGATTGATCACTTGCCACAGAATCGACGTGGGCACGGGGACGAGCACGCACGCACGCGAGGCGATGGAGCGGCGGAGGAGGAGGAGGGGGGAGGGGGGGCTTACAGTAGTACCGCAACCAGAAGGCAGCAAGCCCGCATGCAGAAAAAGGTTAATAAGCGCGACGGAAAGTGACCCCCCCCCCCCCCCCTGACTGAGTCTGAAACCTCTCCCATATCCTTCTCATACGGGTATCATCTAACTGACAGGGTCTGATACCAATTCACACCCGCCCCGGACGGGTGTAACCCCCCCCCCTAATAGCCGTGACTTGTTCCTTGAACGCTATCCTCTTCGCTTTCATGCTCCTCGAGGCTGGCTGCTCCGCTCCATTTGGATGAAACTCATGGATGAATATATGAGTGGATGGATGTTACTTGGATGTGAAACTGGTTCGTCTGTGAAGGCTCTAATTGCTTTTACTTTAAAGTATGAGAAAGGAAAAATCTCGTCGACTTTGCTTTTTGGGAAATACTTTTTCAGTATTTTAATTGGCATATGCAGCTGTGGTAATAACGAAAGGTACTTTTTAAAAATAAAAGCCACCTCGAAGCCCCCTTGCTCCATGTCGAATGCTCAGTACACCACCTTGCTGGAGCCCCCCTCTCCAGGACCTCCCCCGTAGTGTGGGTATCGGCAGCATGGATCCACCGCTTTGATGTCCTGATTGCCACTTTCCATCTCCGTATGCGTGAGACGATGGGGATTAAGTGGGCATTCAATCATACAAGCAATGCACTCAAACTTGCGAAGAGTGACCGGCAACGATGAATTGGAGACCTTCAACACTCTCCCCTGCTCAGAACAATGCGAGCAATCAATCACTAAACTCGTGCATCGGCCATTTCCCAATGTAGAGTTGTAACTTCACATCCCCCGCTGATTATAGTTTTGCAAATAATTAGAAATGGTTCTAATTTTACGTGACTTCTGCGCTTTCAGTACAGTTTTAACTGACGTGTTCACCCTTTTGACTCATGTTCTCATTCACATCCTAATATACGAACACAAGCTCACTGACACATCCTCACTCTACCCAGTCATTACTTCATACATTCACTCATTAGTGTGAAAACATCCGATCAATCTCCGCAACTGAGAAGCTGTTGCGGAGATTTAACTTTTGATTTTTTTCTTAAAAAAAAAAGGGGGGCAAAAAGGCGCTGTTTGTAAAGTTGGCGATATTTTGGAGGCGCATGCAATGTAGCCTGTGCGACTGCATCAAGAGTTAGATTTTCTGTAGCCAACAAATAAGGTCATCAACAATGAAGCTCTTATCCCATACTATATTATGTTGTCCGAGCTACATGTTTTTTACTTCCAGCTACTGACAACTCAAATTTCATAACAATAGTGAAGTTGTTTCAGAAAGATATGGGCATACAGGTAACAATAACATGTTGGATTCTTTAAAACTGACACTGCCAATATATCATCAAAATACACTCGGTACTCCAGCCTAGTTTCGACTTCAGTTTTATTGCAGAGGAATTCGGGCTTGGGCCATTACAGTCAATCACAGGCTTTGATGCCCAGAGTGGTGTCCTGAAATGTAAAACTTTCTACCGAGGATATCAAGCTATAAACGCTTAACCATGGTTGGGATGACAACATCACGATGTCGCTCAGGTTAGAATATCTCTCATGCTTCACAGGTTTCATAACGGTGTTTCATCTTCCCCTAGTGCCTTCAAGCGGATGCTTCTGTCCAAAGAGTGTCCTAAGCTCCAGAAAATCTAAACCTAAACCATTTTTAAAGGAGGCTATTCAAGCAGTAGTTTTGTTCATGAGAAACCTATGAGGAGTCCTCAGGTCGCACCTCCAGGATCACCAATAAGTCCAAGAAAGTCGTCTTTGATTGTGCCAATACAGAACTGCATCGAAAGAGCGAGTTGAAAGTTAGTATACAGATTGAGAAGATCCTCGCGATTAATTGGTTCCGGTATTAGTTGAGGTTCTTCCAATGAGCTACTTTTGAAAATTCTGAATCTGAAGAAAAACAGGACGAAAGAAGCTCAAGGAACTAATCAATAAACTGTGTGTGTACCCGTTATGAGTCCACATAGTGCCTGCGAAGGTGAGAAACACTTACAATCTCTGTAGCGTCAACCCGGGTACCCACAATCTTAAGCCGAACTTCACTATCCTTCTGTATTCTTACCTGCATACAAAGAATGCTATTATAACTGACAAGCCAGAAATTGAACTAGGCTTTGACATGTGTCACCAACTTTAGCCTCCAAGATATCAATGCATCGAAAACCTACGGTTTGTGCTAAAGACCGTACATGAACACAGAGCTATCTCAACACTAAGAATATCATTAATGACACTCTTTTTTGGAAGATGAGCAATCATACCGAGCCATCCGAAGTTTTATAATTCGGTACATCGTCTGATTGAAACGCCATGTCATCTGGTATCAACTGCCAAACCCAAAAGCAGACAATGAGGACTCTCCAGTTGAAATATAATAACTCCTTTCCTTCAAAAAGACGTGGACATTAAATGTTCACCTTCAATAGCTTGCTTAAAACACGAACATGGAAATTGCGATTAAAAAGAGCAAATCCCCTTCGGAAACTTAAAACGTGGGGGTGGAGGGAGAGAGAGAGATAGCTCGTAAGGAAAAAAAATTGATGAGAGGTTTAAGCCACAGATAGCGTTAAGGAGCAGTCAGTGAGCTTACGTGATTTGACACAAAGATTTGAACAGGCCCCGCTTCAGCAAAGAAGCCCATCTGCACACACCAAGCTGAATTCAGATAATCACATCATAGAATTAATAATGCTTGATTTCTTCGACCTTTCCTTGAATTGGCACCTCTTCAAGCTTATAGAAGCATTGAAAGGGACGTCCATAAAAGTTGAGATTCAGTTCATGTCAACAAAAAAAATAAAAAATAAAAAATGACCACGGACTCTCATACAGGAAGTTTCGACAGGGAAAGGTGCAGATAAGTTACAACTAGTGATTTCATGTGATGGGACAGTCCTGAAAAACAATCTCAAGAAGAACAAAACCGACATATCAATAGCATATCCAGCTTCTGGACAGCTTAAGCAAACATACGTGAGCCACGTGTATCCCGACCTCATAAAAACTACACAGTTGAGGCCAATTCGTGGTAGATCTAGGGACTTCATTCCATCAACTGACAAAACGTTAGAATTAAAATGCCATCATTCTACCTTGTTCACCATCGTAACAACGCTCTCTAGTATTTCGCCTTTAAAGGGTCTGAAAACGACACATTGGTACTTGACGGGAAACGTTACGAATCCAGTTCCGTCACGGATGAGTCCCGAGCCAATTGTTTCTACTGCAGTAACTGCAACCACAAATCCATGACGTCCACTGCAACAGCCACAAAAAAAACATTAGCGGCATTAACAAGGGGATGATTATTAATGATAACTATCGAAGATCTTGAAGTGACGCTCCTGATACAGACATGCGCATGAGTTACTAGAGAAATACATTTTCATTAAGGATGAAGAACCAAAGCTCACAGCATCACTAACAGTTCCAAACAGGGTTTCCAAAAATTTAGGATGGCAAGACATAAAACAAAATACTCCCTATTACAGCCAGATTGTACGCATCAGCCCAAATTTTCGGCAGAGCATTCCTAGCTGGTGCAATGCGCTGCTACCGAGCCAGTGTGAAGAAACTGAACAAACGGGCATTCTCAGCGAACTAACACGAGTCCCGGTCACGTAGCGAAATCATTCTTTGCAGCGTGCCTAGGATGGACAGCGACTGTCCAAAACCCCATTTCGTCACAACACAGAAGCTAAACAAACCCACATACGCACCACCCTTCTTCCTACAACACTCGGCTAACCCACAAAGGGACTTACGCCGCTAACGAGGGTTTTACGCAAAGCCAAGGTCAGCAGCAAATCCACTATCGTCGCGAGGTAACCCACTCGGACATAGCGAACACCAGTTGCAGATTTCAGATTTTCCAAAGAAACCCACAATTCTACGACCCTAATCATGAGACTGAGGAGGAAGGGAAAGCAACACCTGCAGGTGCCCTCAACGTCCTGGATGAGCTTCGCAATGAGCTTGTCGCGCAGATGCGGTCCGAAGTGACGAGGGTGCAGCTGCAGATTCCGGTCCAAGTAGATGTGGAAAAACATGTTGCCCTCGCTTTCAATTCCTCGAAGAAGTGGAAAAACCTGCCTGATGAAGCACCGACAGTGCCGTAATAGCCCCAAAACTGGGACGGGGGTAGCGCTACGGGTGGCGAGAGCAAATTGTTTTGAAGGGTTTGCCGACTCGTCGGACACGGTGAAAGGAGACCCCTTCTTTTTTGTTCCTTCTCAAACACCATATGGGTCCTATCACCGTATACTTTGCTAATAGGTCCTAACTGTGAAGGCAAACGAAAATCCTCTGAACTCCCTCCGCTTTCGAGTTGGTTTGGGTTTGTTTACTGCATAAATGTAAAAAATTAATTAATTAAAAACAATATACATAGTTTATATATATATATATATATATATATATATATATGTATGTATACACACACCTTTGTTGGTGTTTTTTTTTTTTTTTTTTTTTTTCTCTTTAACATTTTGAGATTATACATTGGATATAAAAACCATAGTCAGATTTTCTTTACATACAGATGTATCCTGTTTATTGATATCCCTTAAATATTATTTGTTTATCTGATAATACTTTTTTTAGGTTGTTCCTAGGTTGTTAACTTATAATCTTGGTTTTTTCGTAATTAATATATTAAAAAAATTTAAATTTTTATAATTTAAGTGAGAAATGTTTGGCAACTATGTATTCATCCTAAACCTGTACGATTACTTCCCACATGCTTTCTCAATATGGCTTTGATCATGTGCTCAAATCCATTGTTCTATTTAGAATTCAAATTAATCATGGTTTCAATTCTCACAACATTTATTTTTATGTGTTTAAGGTCATTGCTAAATTAATCTCTGACGATTAGTCTGATTAGTCTCCTATATCTTCTCTTTATGCAAGAATATTCATAGAACTGCCTAAAATTTTGTTGATCTTCTAGTTGCTATTAAAAGTATAAATCAATTACTGTGATTGTGGGTGCATTGTCTTCTACTAATTACACTAGTCTGTTATTGTTTGATCATATGGCTTCTCCTTGTGCAGCCTGCATAAATACTTAATTCTCATTCAATTAATTGGAGAATTCTGTAGTGTTTGCAACAACCAATACCAATTGATTGCATGTGATGGCATCTAACACGTTACAAATTACAAGTCGTATTGCAAATGCTTTGCCATTGCAATTTGCATTGATTGATATTGATTGTAGAAAAGGCTCATGATTGCTGAAGTAATGTAATAGAGAATAATGAGAGAGTTTGGTTGCATTTGAACAAGGTTAAGTATTAGACAGAGATGAGAAGTTGACCAAGGGAGTTGTAAAGAGGGCTAACGCAATTGGATACTATTGTTTGGGAGAATACATGTGATTACTTGGGGGCTATGAAATTTCATAATCCCACCTATATTATAAAATATTTTATAATTCACAATATTCTATCTGCCAAGGTTATAATTTAAGCAGAGTGCACATATATATATAATGCAGAGGAATCTAAAAAGTTTTGCATGATACTATTATTATATAACATAAAACCAAAAATACTATAAAAGCTAGTATATGCAAAATATACTTCATATTTGAATCTATAATTTATAAATATATTCACATAATAATGTGTGTATATATGTATATATATATATATATATATATATATATATTGCATATAAATTTTAAAGACTTTATTCATAAATAATGTATCAACTAATATATATATATATATATATATATATATATATATATTTACACATGTAAATAATCATATGATTAACTATAAAACATAAAAAAATAAAATTTTGAACTAATTTTTTTGATAAAAATTTAAAATCTTACTGGATTTGAAATAATAAAATTATAACATAAGAAGAAGTTTACAAATATTTTATATTTTATGTATAGGAAGCTAATATTTAAATTATTAGTTTCTATATATATATATATATATATATATATATAAAATTTTAAACTCAATAAAAAATCCATTTATAAAATATCTCATATTTTTATAACATAATTTGTATATAAGATTCTAATCTAATATTTCTTCTTTTCTTCTATATGTAGAGATTCAATTCTTCTGTATTTCTAAATTTAATATTATTTAATATTATTACAGCAATGTATAAGTTGTCTAAATCCTACTAAATCCTTAAGATGTATATACTCCTTCACTTATTCATTTTAAATATTTTTTAACCTTTCAAAGTTGTCACATTTTGTTCTATTAGGTACAAAAATATGGCTCCTACATATCTATGTTTAAAACTAAAGTATGTTTTACAATACTCTAATATATATATATATATATATATATATATATATTTATTGTGTGAACTTGAAAATATAAAATTAAGAATACTTCTTTTTGAGAAAATTTTATGTAATTTGTTTAAATTAACAACATAAATAAGCTATAAATAGATTTCAGACTATACAACTATGATATTTCAATTTCTATATATAATAATAATAATAAACTTTTAGAATTTATCAATTGCAACACTTATCAATTTACTCTTCTTCTACATTACAATATTATAAATTCACTCAACCATCTTTCTGGCACACCACAATAAAATTTACTATTATTTGTTGTATTTTGAGTTATAAAAGTTAAAAGTCCATTTAAATACATTTTAAATTTACAAGCTAATTTATGTATATATAATTATTTTAAGCATCCTAAATAATAGTAATTAAATGTTGATATATAAAAAATGTTATATTATCCTATAGTTAGATTATTTGTTTTAAAATATTTAAAACAATAAAATACAAAAATTACAATTTAAAGTAATTAATTGATAATATACAAAAATGAAAGTACTACAAAAAAGGTAAAATTAAAAGGAAATATAATCAGATTGAACCTTTTATTACAAACTTATAATTAATGTTTTGAAGAATTGCTTGATAGCATAAACCTTGTGTTTTGTAGATATTCCCGTCATTGTTTGAACAATTTTCGTAATACAATTGTATTCTGTTCTTTGTAGAATGTTGTAAGATAAAAATATTCTACATTCCCAACAGAACCTTTGAATCAACAAAATTGTCACTATATGTATTCAATTATATTGGATATATCACTCACTAGTCTGCCACAAACACACATATTAAGTATTTATTTTCTATCTTGCTTTCCATGAGACATCCTCTTCATCTACCCTCTTCCACTAAGCCACTACATGTTGAAAGTGATTTTTCAGACTGTGTCTATCACCGTAGTTCATTTTCCACTGGTGGTCTTCCTCATTTTGATGCAGTTCTACGTCATGCGATTAGAAAGCAGCGGAAGCTACAGTAGAGGAATTTGTGATCTTAAGAAAAGAGCGACTTGTGAGAAAACTCTGCAATGTAGCATTACTCCGATAGTAGGCAAATGCGATCTGGTTTTTCTTACGTTCTAACAAAGAGTTCATTTAAGGTTTCGAGGTAGTTAATAAGATGACAAGTTCTAAACAATTTCATTCCGAGATCATCAGGCGAGAGGATTTTACAAAAGCAGACATAAATTCCAATACTAGCAACAGTTTATAAGGATTTTTTTTTTTTTTGTTTTTTTCGTAATCTGTCTACATGGGTTTCGTTGATACCGTGTCCAGATTAAGCTCACCCCAAAAGACATTACCCGAGGGACAGGACTGGTAGACTAGTATCGAGTTAAAACTGAGCGGCACACCACTTTCCAAATAACAGAAAAATCCATCAAATACATAAAATACACAACTAAAGCAGGAACTGCCTAGGAAAATGACTGGATTTCCAGCCAGCTACTCGAACTTCGGTGCAATTACATCTACATCTCGTTTTTCAAGGAGAAGGGTTGTATCCATTGAATACATATTTGTACAAGAAATCTAGGAACCCTAGACCTGCCAGGAATCCCTTGCCAGTAACGAGCTCTTGTATGATGAGCATGAAGAATCCAATCATAGCCGCCCTCCCGTTGATGATCTCATTCTTCCTTGTCCAGCCGAAGCCTTCCTCGGTCTCGACCACCTCCATCTTGACCTGAAGAAGAGAGTCAAAATGCAATTAGACAAGCAGGGACCATGGCACAGTTTGGCTATCTTCAACGTATAATTCTACTTGGAAAGAGTAGGCATGACGCGACATAATTCCACGGAGGTAGAGCATGCCTCGTCGACATCAATGTTTGTGGCAGTTCGGCCGGCGTTTCCAGAAGCTGCACCACCGAAGACAATCTCGGCGTACCCTCCACCTCGCACGTTGATGTAAATCGATTCGTCTTCAACTTTGACGGGGTATGTTACGAGGTCCCTCAGGGAAGGTGTCAGCACTCTGAGAACGGGGTTGGTGGGCATCCACTCCTTCACTTTGCCGGACTTCAAGTCGTACGTACTTTCGGTAGACGGGCAGACGATGCAACCATCCTGCCATTCAAATGAACCATAGTAATTGTCAGACAACCGGCGTGTGATGACGTCGCGCATAACGAGTAGTACAAGTTTTAGTACCGCTAGTCCAGAGCTAGTGTAAACATGCATGTCTGAAGGGGGCATGAATAAAAATGCAGGCCTCTAAGTGCAAAGCAAGAATCTCGTGTGAGACGACTGTTCAGAAGATTGTTTCCTTCGAAGCGAGTAACAATCATCTAAAACTGACATGTAGAACCAGATCTGAAGTGATTGTAAGTGGGAATGACGAAGAAAACACCCAGGGCAATTGATCTGCACTGTCTACGCAACTACTTCTGAAACCTGACTACCAAGCGTGCACATGAGCTCCGGAATGCATACCCTCACACATTGGCCATTGAGCTCATGGATGTGCACATGAGTTACACGCCACAATCGGAATTCAGGTTAAGAGAAATCGAGGCTCCATCTAGAGACGACTGGGCAGAACAATGCAGGGCACTTACGGGAGTAAGACGCGCATTGATGAGCCCCTCGCTGTAAGCTCCCTCCGCGGGACTCTGGTTCTCGATGGCATACACATCGTTCTTATACCACAACAAGAGTACAGTCTCACCGTCCTGGCGCACCAAACGCCTCTCACCCCTAGGCAACGCAGCCAGCGGAATCACGGGCACCCAGTTGCCAGATGCCTGCGACGGTCGCGCCTCAGCCGAAGCCTGCGACACCGAGACATCGCCACCCGAGCTGCTGCTGCTGCACACTACAACGTTTTTCCTCGCGCTTCCAGACACTAAAGCGCCGACCCTCGCATGACGTTTGCCGGAACCCAGCTGCGGCAACGCCACAGACGACGTCTCCGAGACACTACACGCCCCAGAGGCGCAGGGGCTAGCTAAACCGGCTCCGACCAACGGATTAAAGCCAACAACGGCCGCCATAGCCAAGGAATTGAGAAGAATTGGGAGGGAATTGGGGGGGGGGGGGGATTGCACTAGACCATCACTACGACGACGACGCGAGGAAGGAAGGGAGGGGTGGGTCTGGGTTATGAGGTAGCGGCGAAGGAGATGAGAGTGGGAGGAGGAGGGGAGAGATTGCGCTGCGGGGGGCTGTGGAGAGGATTGGGAGCCCGTGTGACGAAAGGGAGCCACATACTGGAATGCGACCCCAGCTGCGTGGCGGAGTGGTCGCCAGGGCCCCTCCCCCACCTCCCGGCCCGTCCCGTCCTGTCTTTCTGGTTTTTCCTTCTTTTTCTTTTGGGCTCTGTTTTCTCTTTCTTTTTCTTTTCCAATTTCTTTTTCCCTTCATTCGCTGTCCTGAATTGCTTGTGGCCTCGTTTCTATGCTCAGGGTTGAGACACCGTCCACGTGGCATCGCTCACATGTCAACCACATACATACTCTCACTGTCGTCTCGTGCCACATCCTTTATTTATTTTGTCTACTACAAACGGATCCTATGGGTTCAGGGTGTACAATATATATATATATATATATATATATATGTATGTTAATTCTAATAACAACAACAACAACACAAATTGAATCAGATTCAATTGTTGCAAATCACAATAGTGACTGTTTTTAAATATTACAAGAATATAGTGAAAATTTGGTAATTCAAAAATATAGAAGCAGATAATTACTGTGAATTTTATTTAGGCTTTTTACAAAGTGGCAAAAAAAAGTCATTTGTCAATATTATATATATATATATTGTTATTAGTGTTGATATAATAAAATCATATCTAGGAATTACTTTATGATGTTATTTTGATTGATGTATAAAAATTTGGTTTGTATGTGTATATAGCCAAATCATATGACAAAAGACTATAAATTCAAGAAACTACTACTAGTTAGTAATAAATCTTTAACCATTTTGATAAAATTTTCAATAAGTAGAAGTCAATTTATCAAAATGGTTAAAGAAAAGAAAATTAATTCCAAATGGTATTTGGACAAGCAATAAGTTAGCACTAAGTTGCTTCAAATCAGTAAGCCAATTTTATAAGATGAGAGTAGTAAGTGGAGAACCACATGTTATAATTGGATAAGAAGAAATTCATATAGAAATGGACAATCGAAAGTCAAAGAAGATAAGTAATATTTTATTTGTACTTTCCTTAAAAAAGAACTTATTGTCAATTGACTTACTTACAAATAAAGGAAACATAGTTGTTTTTTAGTTGACAAATGCTGCATCATTGATCAAAAAGAAAAACTAAGTATAATCACCATAAGATCTCAAGACCTAAGTAATGGACTATATTGTATAAATCAATGTATATCAAAAGTTAATTCTATTATTATAGAATATTCTAAGCTAAAGATTTGGACACCTTGCTTATGTTAGTTTAAAATAACTTCATACAAACCAAGGAGTAAAAGGTTTATTTTCTATTGAAAATAAATCTAAAGAAATCTATGAAGCATGTAATGCACATTGACAATATATATATATATATATATATATATATATATAAAAATCTAAAACAAAGCATTAAGAGATTAAACAAGTTATTCCAATTGATATATAAAGATCTTATTGAACCAATATCAAAACCCTTGTTAAGTAGGACCAAATACTTTGCAATCTTATCTGATGATTTTTCTTGAAGAAGCTAGGTTTATTTCCTTAAAATAAAGAAAAAACTTTCTATAAGTTTTGCAAATTCAAAAATCAAGTAGAAAATGAAACATGTGAAAAATTTCTTGTGTTAAGATTAGATAAAAAATATCAGTTTTTGTCTAAAGAGTTTCAAGAATTTTGTTATAAACATAGAATAGCTAGGCAATTGACACAAGCATTGATCCCTCAGCAAAACATAGTGGCCAAAAGATGCAACATAATAATATTCAAGAAAGCAAGGAGCATGCTTTTTAAAAGAAATTTGCCTTCAAGCTTATGGCTTAAAGCTATTAGCATAACAAACTATCTAATAACCATATTTCCAACTAACACCAATAATGTGAAGACTCCCATAGAGTTGTACTATTAAAAAAAATCAAAAGTACAACACTTAAGAATATTTGGATGTACAACTTATTTTCATATATCAAAGGAGTAATGATTAAAATTTGATAGTAAAAAGAAGAAGTGCATCTTTGTTGGATATGACACCAACAACAATTCAAATAAAATCTATGACCTTGAAAGTAAAAGAATTATTATAAGTAATGATGTTACCTTTAATGAATCAAAAGTAGAGTACCAACATCTTGATGACAAAACTTATAATATAATTTTTAAAGATGTTTTTTCTTGTAATAGTTAGTATTGTAGAAGAAGATACAATATAAGAAGAAATAGAACTTAAATAAGATGAAGATCAATATGTTAAACTAAAAGATATACCTTATTATCTCCAAATTCTAATAAAAATATTGAAGCATCTTCATACTGCTAGAAGTCAACCAAATTTTCATGTTGTACACTCGCTAATATCTCATAATTTGCTTTTCCAAGTTGAACAACTTTCCATACAAAAAATGATGGACAAGTATAGATAACCATTGATAAAATTTAAAGACAATTGGCTATTAAGTGTAAATCCTATTGACTATTTCAAAGCAATCAATAATAAAAATTAAAAAGAATCTATATATTATGAAGTTCAAAGTATTAAAAAAAAAAAAAAAAAAAAAAAAAAAAAACATAAAAGGTTTGTGATTCACTACCCAAGAAGAAGCCAATAACTATAAAATGAATCTTTAAAAAAAAACATGAGTTTTAAGTATTGCTGATAAATTCAAGGCTTAAATTGTGGCACAAGGTTTGAATAATAAGAAAGAGAATATTTCTTTAAAAAATTTTCACTTATCATATATTAGAATACTATAAAAATAGTTATTACCTTAATAGCTTCTTAACAATAGTAATTCAAACAATATGATGTCAAAATAAAATTTTTAAATAGAATATTAGAAGAAAAAATAATTATAGTGATTTCACTTGTTTTTGAAGGATATTAAAGGAACAAACGTGTATGTAAACTTTAATAAGCTGTCTATAATCTTTGACAATTCTCTTGAACTTAGTATAGAAGAATTGACAAGAATTTGTAAAATATAGGATTGAAAAAGTTATGAGCAGATTCTAATTTGTATATTCACTATTACAAAGATAAATGCATACTTATTTTATTACATGTAGATGTTTTAATTATCATAAGAGATGATTATGAAGGAATTAATAGAATTAATAGAAAATTGCTATCCAAATTTGAAATAACAAGTTTGGAACTAATAAGACTTTATCTTAGAGTTGAATTTAAATACTCACAAAAAAAATAAAAGCAAAAATCTCCATGAAAAAAACTATATCAATATTTTGTTAGATAGATTTTGCATGGTAAACTACAATTCTAACACTATTCTTATGAACAAAGGTATAAATAAAGAAAGAATGAGTGAAGAATTGATTGTCAACATAGAATATTAAAGACTTGTTGGAAAGATGCTTTATTTATCAAATATGGAATGTCTTGATATAAGCTTTGTAATGAGTTGTATTAATAAATATTATACTATACTTCAAAAATCACATTAAAGAGCAAAAATATGTATTTTATGCTATCTAAAAGAAACTACAAAATTATAAATCTATTATTCAAAAGAAAAACTAGGCAAAATGATTGGTTATATTGATATTGATTGATGGCAAGAAGAAGATTTATGCAAGCTTATGTTAGAACTCTTATATATGATTGCAAACTTATTACTTGATTAGAGTTTGAAGTTACAAAGCATAGTTGCTTTATCAACTATTGAGGCCAAATTATATATATATATATATATATATATATAATATAATATAAAATATTATCTGAAGCAATAGGAAGCATAACATGGCTTTGAAGATTATTCAAAGATTTACAAATTTAGCAAAGCAATAAAACAACTTTGATCATGAGTGGTATTCAAACATGAATTAAATTGGAAGCAAATCCCATATTATGTGCTATGACAAAGCATATTGAAATGCACTTCTACTTTATTTGAAAAAAACTTAAATTGGTAAAGATTAAGTATCATATATTTCAATTGAATAACAATTGGTTGACATACTTATTAATTTTATTAATAAAATAAAATAGTCTATACTAAAAAAAAATATACATTTGAAACATTTTTCTTCTTCAATATCAACTACATATTGAGTTTTTGATCTACACCTTTGTACAATGTTTATATGGTAAGTCCATCAATCATATTCTTATTATATATTATCATATAATATACATATTCATCTCTATATCTATGCAATAAGTTCTTAGATTTGATATCTTTGGCTATAGTCATATGTTGATAGCCAATGATATTAATTTTTTTAAAAAAAAAATATGCATATGATCAAAAGACTCTATTTCATGTCTCCAACTTCTACTTAAATTTTGTAGCATCATAAGCAAAAAAAGATTATTTACCAATATTAATCTACTTATAATTTTTTTTTTTTATAAATTTAATACCAAGTGATAATTGAGGTATTGAAACATTAAATGACCTATATGCAAAAAAAACTTATGCTATTAAGAATAAATTTTTCATATAAAACCTTCTCTTTGAGAACCGCATTTAAATTTGTGTTGTATTTTAGAGTTTTCGTTTTAAACTGTAAAAGAGATTCACCAAGAAAATGACAAGTATAAGAAATTATGGTGTCACATCTTCTTCTCAATTTTGTGACTAGAAACCAAATATCTAGAAGTATCAACTTACATTAGAAATGTGTAAGTTAGTAAGTAAACCAAAAAGAAAAAGTAAAAAGAGACAACAAATTAAGAGCTAAAATAAAAGCAAATTACCAAAGAGAGAAGGTTGACTTGATTTTGGAGCGCTAATACATTGAGCCTTGGCATTGCAGCATGAGAATCCAAATGAAAAATGAAAAATAAATGAAACCTTAGGCAGAAAGGAGTGTTGGCAAAAATGTGTGCCTAGAGTTTCCTTCCTTATACATGGATGAGACCATGCAATACCTAGGTTGTACATGGACGAAGTTGATACCCACCATTTTCCGCCAAAGACAGAATATGCATTAGACACTAGCTACAATTATGTGTAGTTTGAACAAAAGATCAAGTTCAATACAAATAGAATAATATTTAGAAAACAGTTCAAACTACTTTAATTCACAATGTATATATTGAATTCTATCTTAGTTATTCTCATTTATTGTGTTCATACAAATCTTTCAATTTCAAACAAGGAAACATCGGGCAAAGTTTGGGAGAGATTGTCCTCGGCTAAGGTGATTACTGATCTTTCTCATCCGATGGATTACCTACAAAAGCCAGGGGTTTCTATACCCAAGTATCGCTACTCACTCAAAATGATCCATTTTGCAAGACGTCTACGTGGTGATGACTATTTAGCAGCACCTGGGGAAGAAAAGAGCAAGTTGGATTTCCAGCGAACATTTTCCACTCATCTATTATTGCTAGAGATGGCCTTGTTGAGATGTCAAATTTTTCTAGCCTATGGGGGATGATTATGGTCACTGTCACATGCTGAATTTGACATTATTACCTGGAGGTCTTAGGCATGCAGTTAGCATGGTGTTCCGGTGAAGGCTGGCTTGTTGTTCCTTATTTTCGTTAGCCCTCTTTTCTTCAGTGTCATTGCTGGAGCTTGTTGGCTTTCGTGATAGGGTTTTTTTTTTTTTTTTTTTTTTTTTTTTTGCTGTGAGGCTGTTATTGACAGGCCCTGCCTCATGCGAGTTAGTAGACGCCAAGATCGGTTTGACATTCCGAATTTTTATGATGCTGCCCTCGGGCTCCACATTCTGCTCAACACATGATCTTGAATTCGTTCGGCCCTGAGGTATCAATTAAGCATGCAGGATCACTATCAAACATTCCACCCCATCACTTTACTCACAAGATTGTCTTGTTTTTGTGTTCATAAATAGTTTCCCTAAAAATTTACTTTTTTGTTGAGTACTTGCTATCGTGTGCAGGTCACTTATTTGCGGTTTGGGTTGGCGGTGAGACATATCATCGACAAAAAGAGTCCAATATTTGGTCATGCAATTGAATCTTTGATGAATGGGAATGCCTCTTATTTCTCTTACCAATATGGGCCTCGAACGCACCTCCGTGCAACCAATTTTCCACTTGGAAGTAAGCGCTGGTTTTCTTCTCGTAAGATCAGGGTTTTTGTGAATTCCTGTATCTTCAAAAAAATTTGTAGCATGCTAGAGACGGCTCAACCAAGTTTCCTCATCATTTTTGAATTTCCAGAATTACTTCGTTTGTGGTGGGGATAATGATTGGGATGGGCGTTACGAGGATTTCATCCATATTGATACACACGGACAACGTGTTCTGAACTATTCAAATTCCTTCAAGATCAGTGATCGATAAATTGAGTGTGTTGTAGATTCAATAAACAGAAGTTTTCATCTGTTGAATATTTCCCTGTCTGGTGATGTTTGATAAAATATTCATTTATTTCGGATCAGGAGTCTTATGGTTTCTTGTCCTGCCTTCATGTGGAGGGTTGTGAGGTTAGCTTTTGCATCAAATTTTGCTTTCAATTGCGTGGAGATGTGCAGGATGATGAAACTATTTCACAGGATACTAATAGAATGAAAAATGATGTTGCTGCCAGTGAGGAAGTATGCCCTCAAGAGGTAGTTGGGCTTCGGACAAAGGAATTATGGAAGTCGAAATCAACTACGTTTTCAACAGCACCTGGTTGGTGATCTTGTCCAATCCCTCACGCTTAAATCGTAGACTTTGGAGTAGCGGAAGCTAGTCAGTCAATGGTGCCAGTTGGTGCCCTCGCAACTAACCATATTGCAGATTTCTCTTCATTGGTTACAGCACCATCTGGAGATCGTATCAACCTCAGGTCTTAGTGCGATTTTCAAAGATTTGTGTCCAGCGTGGGTATGTGTGCTCATTTTTCCGACAAAGGTTCTGTGTAGAATTGCCTTGCATCGAAATTCTCATCATAAAATGTCAGCATTGAACTTGGTATACCATAAATCTACTTTACGAGACCAAGAAAAGGTTCGAACCTCAAGTGCGTAGATTTCCACACCGAGTTCACTCCGACTCTTTCAGATACAGTTTAGTGAACTTTTTCTACAAAACATGTTCACAAATTCAAGTGCCCATCGTATGCCCAAAACAATTATCCAGAGACGTCAAAATTCTCGATTGATGTTGTACAGCACATGAAATGAGAGCTATCCGTTCAGCTCCTCAAAGCAAGACGACTACACAGGAGTGAAATATCTTCTATATTTACAAAGTTTTTGGCTTTTGTTAGAATACCACCGAGTACAACAATTGACCCAGTACCTCTCCACTAATGTGATACAATTGAATTACTGCCCATGATTTAAAACTTCTTCATTCTTTGTCCTAAAATATTACCGACTTCAAGCCAAGACGCGTTAGTCTTAATCCAAAAGGCTGTTCCCCTTCTTGCAATGGGAAACTGTGGGGGAAATCCACAGCGGCCGCCACTCTCATTGTAGTGAACTGTGCTATGTGAAAGACGTGGTCATCAAATTGCACCCCTGCAAGTCGTCGTGTCCAAAATAGTGAGACGATCTGAAAATGAATTTGCTCAACACGACGATTTCTACAATGCAAGGTAAAGCATCACTGTCGCAAACACTCGAGCAATAAAAATCAACCAAGATACTCTGTCCACCTAGAGGATTTGGAAATGGGTGGCTCACCTTGAGGGGTGAGATGCACGCCTGTTCCATGAGGATGATAGAGGTTGATCATCAAACGAGCCTCGGTCGATTCCCAAAATCTCCCCAGTCCTGAAATTGGCACTCTGCACATGCCCACAAAAATTGGGCCGTAAGCATCGAAAACAGAACAGCGGTGTGGTATACGGTGACCATAGCAATTGTCAGAAGACTTGAGGAGGAGCTCTACATCTTTCTGCTAACACCGACCTGTATCGTGCATAGACCGCAAGATTGGTGTCACCGAGAGGCCATTTCCCCCTCATTTCTAAGGCCGGCTCCGGAAGTAGGTGTAACGCGACGTGCTGCGCTCGTAGCCGGAACTTGGGTTCAACTCGACCTTGGTCCATCACCACATTGGCGCCGAACCCAAAGTTGACATCCCACGGGGTTTTCTCTTCCCCTTCCTCCCTGTGCGGGAAGTCCCAAACCTGTCAAAACCCCGAAACTCAATTATTTTTATTACAACCACATGCCCAAATTTTGATGAAAATCATAAAAACTACTGACATCGACAGCAAGAAATTCAATCAGTTATGGCTAAAGTATAACGTCAGAAACTGCACAGGTCCTCGGTGAGATTTATGACCATGAAAATGTGTGAGAGGCTGTTGACCTAGAGTTTACTGTAGATCAGTCAAAGCTGCTTCCTCGTCGAAAAGACACAAGAGGCGAAAGAGAAGAAGAAGCAGTAAAAGAAAAATTGAAGGCAAAAAATAAAGAGCAGAAAAGCCAACAAAATTGAGAAATAGCTAAGTTTGCACCCAGAAACCCTAAATAGCTACCTCAATGAAATTCTCTTAGCAGCTGACATCAATGAGAACCAGCTCTAAGTTGGCAAAGCACAATCCGAGCATTCTGACGAAGCGTTCAGATTCTCGACTAAGACGTACTCAAGAGCTAGATTCGGAGACTCGCGAATGTATCAAACAAAGACATCGAAAACATAAAATTCCAGTCAGCTTTCGCGGTGCAAGATTTAATGTAGCCGCATAGATCATGAATTGAGCAGAAAACGAAGACACACAGACCTGCATGAGCTTTACACGAGCTCCTCCGCCGCGAATGCTGCCAAACAGGGATTCATCCTTGGCCACATATTCGTCGTCCACTGCGGCATCATACCCATAGCCATTGCCCTCCCCGCCATATAGGGGACCACCTGAGGAAACAGAAGCGCCGGGAAGTGCAGGTGAGCGAAGCAGATCACGGCGAACCGCCCGGCGGCGTCTCGTAGGAGGACGATAACTCACAGCCTGACGCAAATCAATGCGGAGAATGGTGTTCGAATGCTTCCAAGCGCCCTGAACCATGCCAGAAGCGATTTGCATAACATGGGCGCCGAGGGATTGATCGAGGGGAGGGCGGGAAGCGCCAGAATGCGAGGACCGGGAAGGGGGAGGGGGCGCATAGCGTGCATACTCGGGGTCAGAGTAGGGCGAGCTCGCAGAATGCAATGGCGGAGCAGATGGCTCATAGCCAGGGGCGAAACTCTGTTCACGCTGGTGCGATTGCAGAGCCATAATGGATGAAATGGCGAATGAACAACAAAGAAGGAGGAACAATAATAACAACAACAACAATAACAGCGTCCTGTATGAGCAGAATCGGAACTAAAACAGGGCCTCTTTGTGTTGCAATCCTGAGTTGCGAGGAATCCTTGTCAGAGTGTTCCACCCAGATCACGAGACCGACCTTTCCACCTGGCTGGCGGACTCATCCCTTTTGTGATCGTTCGCCGATTCTCAGCTTTCTGCCAAATGTTATCTCCATACTCCTGCCATATGTCACACCGAAGCCATGCACCCCACAGTGAGCTTTATTCGCGTAAAAGCGACCAGCGGAGAAACGCATCCCCCTGGGCTCTGCTCCGAAGCCCATTTCCTGCCGCGACAGCATTTCTGTCTCGTTCAATTCTCCCAATTATATGTCCTTTGGGAACTATAACTGCGCTCAATGAGGGGTTCACAGCTTCTCCAGAATTGCGCTTCTCTGTAGCATCCAGCAACCCACTTCCCCCAACTTTGCAACAAAGGAACGTTGTCACCAGCAGCAGATTCTACTCCCCCAACACTCTGCGAATTCACGAACCCGACTTCCTCGTTCAAGCCTCACTCATCATCCCACCATTTTACTTAATGTGCTTGCAAGTTGCGCAGGAAGAAAGGTAGAGTGTGTTAGCTCAAGTGCTCTCACCCTAATTGCATTTATCCATCAATGACATCTGGGTAATGATATTCATTAGAACACACGTGACCAGTTGGTTCACCTATTGTATATATACATATATATGTACAGAGTTGGTTTTATTTTCCTGCATAATCATCAGAACACAGAGTCTCAGTTGTGAAGCAAGGTCCTGAAACATGTGTAAACATGGTATCTATCGATAGGGAGAATAGCTCAGTGTTGTTTCGCTAGTGAGTATTGTCCCTAGAGTCACATGTGCTGAAAGTGAGCACTGCTGCTATATATATATATATATATATTTTTCTCAGTTGATCAATACAGAATACAGAAGAAAGAATGTAAGTCATCATGACAGAGACAGGAGGTTACGGAGGCATGTCGGTTGGTGAGCCTAACAATTGTTGTAGAAAATCTTGAAATAACACCGTTTGAGCTTAATGGTTATGTTCTATATAACTAGCCGTGGTATACAGATAGTGAAACAACTACCCATATTAATGCCTCTAAATAATATCCTAGTCACATGGGTGAAACTAATTGTGGCTAGAATATCAAAACAGATGGAGCAGAGAATTATAATGTTGAGGGAGTAAGCACTTCCACTATTCAAACTCATTCTAGAGCAGTAAACATCATTAACATTCTTTACGTTCCAAGTCTATATAAAAGTCTAATTTTTGTAAGCAACATTCTAAAATCTTGGTGTTCTCCAATACACATTATTGGATACAAGACAATTATCAAGGATATGAATCAAAAACAAATAAAACATCAATACATTCTTGTATCACTCAAAAAAAGTAGATATTTATTCAAAATTAGAATAATATTAAAATTGGAATGGCTATTGCCAAAGATAAGGAGACCAAAGATTCTTGAAACAAGTCTAATAACTCATAAGGCATAGACAAGAGTGAAGAAGGCTTCATTCTTACCTCCATATATACTATCCAATTAGGAGCAATGTGAGAATGTTCTAAAAGATCTCCAATATGTATCCAACTTATGAGACATATGCCTAATTCACAAAACAAGTTTCACATGTGCACTACATAGTAAACTTATACCACAAGTAGCCAACATATGCAGCATGTGGTCAACTTGTTGGCCAAGTTTCCAACCTACCAATGACCTATAAATACATATAAAGTCAAATTGCATCTATGAAGCTTTTAAAAAGCTAATTCATGAAATATTATCAAATTTATTTACTTCTACTTATTTCTATCTAACTTCTTTAATTTAGATAAATATACATATCCATGACATTACCTCTTCCACTCTCTCCTCCTTTTTTCTCTCTTCTTTTTAGGGACAAGTTCCATAAAGAGTAATAATAACATGTTGAAGAAGTTTAGAATACATCAAATTGTATTTGTCATATACTTTGATCTTTGTTATCTTTGAAGGTAGTAAATAGATCCTTTCAACTATTGATAGTATTCCATATTAAAGCAAAAAGACCACCTTGATATTTAATCATTATTAAGGCCTTCATATCTTTCTTCAAATAAAATATTTGAAACAACATCAAGGATGGTTTCTACCTCTAATAATATCACCAAATATCAAAATTTTCTTCTAAGATTGTAATACCAAATACGTTATATTTTACCATCTATTTGAAGAAAAATATGTCATTCTTAAAGGTCTTCATTCCTATTCTATTGTTTGAAAGGTTGTGACAATTGCAACATTGTTGTGTAATAATACAATGATTAGTTAAAAGATTAAAAGAAATATCATATTATAAAAAAGCTTAAATAAATATATTTTAGTAAATTATCTTAAAAACATAGATAATAGACAAGGAAGTAGTAAAAATTAATAAATATTAATATTGATTTTTTATAATAAAGACTTCTACTTATTTCGAAGGACCATAAATAAAACAAATCAAAATAGATAAGAAAGATAATTAATATAGATATGTTTAGAAAAAAATTAAGAATAACTTTAAGCAAAAATTATCTTAAGAAACCAAGAATTGATACTTGGAGAAGAGTGGTTGTGAATTAAGATTGAGATCAAATCCTAAGACACAAAATTACATGCTTATGGTAATTTTGGGATTTTTTTAGTTAATTAAAGAGCAAAATTCGAGGATACACTTTTCAAAGGCTTTTTGGACATTTTTTTTTGAGTAATTTAAGTTTTTAATAACTTTATAAAGACTTTGCAAAGTTAGAATTGTTTTGGGGGTTATTTTAGATTTTGACAACTATAAAGAATTTATACTTTCAATTTTTTTGTAAGATTAATCAATAAACTATAAATAAAAATTTGTAATTATGTGATTAATATTTTGTTAAATTTATATTATAAATTTAAGCTTGATCTAATGGTTTGATTAAAGATTATTAGAATTCAAACATATTAGAATAAACATTCGGAGTTTAAAAGACTAGTAAGGGTTTTCAAGATTTACAGTAATCCTCCAATTGGATTGATTTAAAATTTTATAAAATTGTGGTTGACTTGATTTTAAATAACATTACAAAGTTTGAAGTCTATTGAAAGGTAAAATTAAGAGATATTAGCTCTAGAAGATTGGCATCAAGGTTAGAGAAGGATGCTGACCAATATGAAAGTAAATATTGGGATTTATCTTTTATTTGGAAAATTCAATTTTTTTCAAATTTTTTGTGCTTGGTGAAAACTTAATATTTTATAGTTGTGAAAAATTTGAATTAAATTCTATGATAAGATTATTAATAATTGATATTTTAATCTACTATAAGATTAATTAAGATTTTATTTTAAATTTGAAGTTTGATTAGAATTTCATTAAAGTTTAGTTTAAAATTTATAGAATAATTAAGATTTAATTAGGATGTATTTTAGGATTCAATTAATATTTAATTAAGACTTGATTTAGGATTTAAGATCTAATTAAGATTTATTTTAGAATTTAAGATTTTATTAGGATTTATTTTAGAATTAAAGATATGAAAAGGATTCATTTTAAGATTAAAGATTTTAATAGGATTTGAATAGGATTTGATTTAGGATTTAAAATTTCATTGGAATTTAATTATGATTTTTTAGAATTTATTTAAGATTTTTATAAAAATATTTATGATTTTTTAAAATATTATTTATAATTTCTTTAAGATTTCAAATGAATTTGATTAAGATTTGATTAAGGTTTTAAAGATTTAATTAAAATTTATTTAGGATTTTATTAGAATTGTTAGAATCTTATTGTTGCAACTTTTATTTTGCTTTCCACAATCAAGTGTTTGGTGCATTCTCAAACAAATTTAACGTAATACAATAAAATCTTCTTTGATAACTTAGAAAATGACATCTTCTAAATTGAATCTATTGGTTGTTGATTCTCCATCTTCTTAGCATTGTAAATATATAAAAATTAAATCTAAAAATAAAAGATAGAATGAAATCTTTCTTGAACCTAATTTCTTTTATAGCAAAGAATTATTACTCTTCATCTTAATTTTAACAGATGCCATCAATTAAAAGTATCAATTTTTTTTATTATTTTTATAAGATTTTTGGTTGATGCCCATGTGCATTTTTTAATACTATATCCATGCCAATAAGTAAGATATTCCAACCTATTTTGGCAGCACTTTGAGTCTAAGTCTTCTTCAGCTTAATATTCTTGATTATTGTCTACTTTTATAAGAAGTGGCATTTGTCTTCTTCTTCATATATCTATTGCATTGTATGGTTTAAAAAGATATACATGGAATATATGATGGATTTTTATAGACTTTGGTAGGTATAATCAATATGTAGTTAGATTAATCTATTCATAAGTACAAAATGGTCCAAGTCTACTACAATCCAAATTGTCATAAAGACAATCAAAGATCCAAAAATTCAATATACTCTTATATTACTTAGAAAGAGTAGATACTTACTTAAAATTAATATAATATTGAAATTGAAATGATTAATGCCACAAATAAGAAAACTAAAAAATCTTGAAATAAAACTAAGGCCTAAAAAGGCATTGACTCTTGCCTCAATATATATTATCTAATTAGAATCTACATGGTAACATTCTACAAGACCTTTGAGATGTGTCCAATTTGCAAGACATGTGTTTAACTTACAAGATAAGTTTCTTATATGTGTACCACATAGTTAGCTTGTTCTACAAGCTGCTAATACGTGCAACACATGACTAACTTTTTGGCCAAGTTTTTAACCTACAAATCAATTATAAATACATATAAGATCAAATATACGTCTATGAAGCTTTTAAGAAGCTATGCTACAAGATAATATCTAATTTACCTACATTTATCTTCTACCTAATACTACTTATCTAAATAAATATGTATATTTGTAACAATAGTCTTGATATTATGATGAAGTAACCATACTTTGTTGTGTACATGAAATCAAGGTTGTTCTTTGCAATAATCATCCACGTTTATTTTTTGTCATTCTTGAGTTTTTTTTAATTGTGCCTTTATTGTTACATGCAACTTTTATAAATGATTTGCCAAATCTTCTATTACAAGATTATCAAATTTTGAAAAGTCAAAAATATTAAGTCATGGATAATAATCATAATTGATAAAGAAAGATATTTATTAAATAAAAGAATGTATTGTATTATTTTAAGCAAACTCTCACTATGATAAAAAATTTGTTTAATCATCTTGATGGTAGTTAATGGTATATTTCAAATAATGCTCTAAAACTTGATTCACTCATTTTGTGAAATAAATGATGTAAAAATTTGTATTTTCTTTTAGATCCAATCACTTATAAATGCTTGTCATACATTAAAAAGCTGGTGGTTGACAAATCCTACCACAGCTTAATCAAAAAATTTGATTATTATAAAGCTTCATTATTATGGTTTTGCAACTTTTATTGTAGAAAATATTATGTTGCACGGTTGTAAATTTTTTGCTGTAATTGATTATACTACATCCCTATAAACTATTAGAATGCTTTGTGTAAAGTATTTGTTTCTAGTACATTTTGAAAGT